TCAGAGCTCACGTAACAATCCATTGTTAATGGAAACCATCTAAGTTTGTTGAATAAGCGGTCAGGTAGCGTGCGTAAAATTCGTTACACGAACTCTGTGGGTACAGATTATCTCGGATTAACATTCCTTTCCACCGATATGGGTTCCAGGAGCGCTCCTTGGTCCTTGGTAATGTAGGACAAAGCTTTTTTCTTAATAAAACGATATCACCCGCGCCCAATTTATCCAATAAAACGTATGCGGGCGTCGGGCGACACCGTGGCGACTATAGACTCATTCCACTCCCATTCCCATGTCGTTGTAATTATTCAGTATAACGGGGCTTAAATGTATTAATATCGGCATTGTGTCGGTCGCCTCGCCCGGCGGGGAACCAAACGCCGTTCTTTTCAACCCCGTTGCATTACAAGCCCATAGTCTACCAATTTACAAATGCGTAAACAATTTAAAACATGCTAAACTGAGCGGCTATGATTCATTCATTGTAAGGTATGTGCATAATGTACAGGAAGTTAGAGCGTATGAATAAATTAGTCGACAAATACGCAGAGCAATCAATCTGATTCACACCGCACAATGTGTTGTTAATTTTTGACAGATAAGTTTAGTGACTTTTGTGAAATAAGAGAAAACATCTTAAATTTTGTTATAATTATATGAGACTATCATAAAAGCAGACCCTCTTGATTAAAAACAGAATAATTAAAACAGTTTATAAAATACAGCCGTAAAATTTCTTTTTTGAAGTCGATTGAATCAACTGGGAAGGTACCCAGTTGAATATTTATTTTAATTTACTAAGTAGTTATGGGACTGTAATGATAGTAATAAAAAATAACTAATAGAGGTATATAAATTTATTACTAAAGCACAATTACAACACAAATGTAAAACAAAAAAGGCGATGGACAATAAAGAAGTAAAACTTAGATAAAATTAAAATAGTACCTAAGGGATTCGAGGAAATATCTATAGGTTTCCGTGATTGCTCAATAAATATTCGTTGTTGATATTATATAATCATTTTCATTTGTAGTTTTATAGTTATATTATTTATATATTATTAGTATTAAAAAATATTAATACTATTTAAAGTGGTTTTTATAAAAAATAAAGATTTATTAAATTAAGTACAAACTTGAATAATGTTATTTTAGAAGCATAACGCCCCAGTCATTGGATTTAAGATTGGTAATGCATGACGAGTACCATGGGCGTTATGGTGTATGTTATATCTCTATCTAGGTGTAGGTGACAGTTATTATTTTTTATCAGATGGATGGTGAGTTTGTTATTAAACAAATCGTTTAGTTTTTGATTAACAAAAAAAATGTTTTGTTCTATAGAGTTTTAGTGTGAACATATCACACTGTCCTTGAACATTGCAAATATAAGTCTTCGTGTATTGTCTTTTTGTATTCAATTTACTCTGCACTATGCATGTAAACAAGTTCATGCAATGTATATGCAAACAAATTCCCCGTCCCTGACAAACACTGTCGGAACCCAGACCCGCAGCTGTGTGAATAGCATTTTAGGTGGTCAGAATATATGTATACGGGGTCTCTACTAATTGCTGGTGGACTTTCCTAACAATAATATTAAATAATGATAGAATTAGTTCCGTTCACTAAACACATTACTTCATAGAACTAGTGATAGACTTATGCAAAACAGCCTAATCCAAAAGATTATAAATCTTTCGAAACCACTGTTCTATTTCTTGTTATATAATATCCTATGGCTGTTATTACACAACGAATTAGGTCATCCTAAACTTTGTTTAAAGTTGGTTTTAAAAGAAATTGATTAATTCCGGCACTTACAAAAGTGGCAAGTGGAGTTATTGTTTACTGTGAATTAACCCCAAAATTCTCCATTAGCAGAGTACCGTGATTTGATCGTAAACATGTAGTTTCAAAATAAATTGGACAACTCGGAAGCTTTTTACACCAATAGAGTTCCGTAGTTTTTACACGAGTGCCCAAAAAAGGAGTGTAATATTTTCAGTGTTCATATCATGTATTTTTTTTGTTCCATCGTGACATGTAAATGCTAAAACATATTTGGATGTATGGAATATCGTTATATATATTAGAAACTTGATGGAAATAGCTTAGACGGGAGTATGTCTCTAGTAATGCAATGTAATATGTAATAAATAGTCTTTCATACTTAATAGAGGCTTTTAATTTGGTGTAGAATTCTAATGTTGTGCTACTCTGTTTTAATGAGCGGGTTTACAACGTTTGTTGCATTAAGGCACGAGTATTTTCGGCGTTGTTTTAGCTAACTCAATGGCATTTCCTTGTTTAGATATACGATAGGCTCGGAAAACGTTGTTTAATACTAGAATTTAATGACTCCCTCTTGACAGTTGAAGTTAAAAAAATTCATGTTTACCAAAAAACAAACGAAAAATACCTGCGAGTATTTTATAATTTTTTTTTATTTTCTAAGTAAATTTAAATCATTGCATTATTTTTAACCTTCCACGCAAAAGACGAGTGTTATACGTTTGACGTGTCTGTGTCTCTGTCTGTGGCATAATAGGTCTTAAAAAAATTAACCGATTATGATGCGGTTTTTTGTTTCAAAGCTGACATGATTGATATGGTTCTTAGCTACAATTTATGAAGATTTATTTAAGAGTTTCCAGGTTATTAGCTCAGGCTTACATTAAAATATAATTTTATATTACTACAGTGAGATATTTATAATGATTATTTTTTATGAGCTTTCAAACAGGTATTTCGAATATTCAAAGTGCAAAAAAAATTACATTATAAGTAAATTGATATATCCAATATTTTATGAAATTGAATTAAGCCATATTTTTTGAGGAAAGCCAGCATTTCATCTTCTAATCGTCACGTATAAATAAAATAACATCATGCAGGTCACTTTTGAAATGAAAGAAATAAAAGTCACAACTCTGAAATCTCTAAAAATATAAGTGTGATTAGATACTTTCGTAAATGTAATTAATTAATTCTTCTTTAAGTTGAACAACTAAGATTGCACCTGTATCCTCTCATAAATGATAAACCCGGTCAGATAATGCTTTTACTAGGGAATTTTGACTACACGTTAAATATGAAGTTATCATATCTGCATAACAAAGAGCAGCTATTGTGTTAACAAAATGATTGTGTCTATTATGCTACCATCGAAGGGTGATCGCAAAATATCGATTATACAGCGGTTGGACGGCCGGCACGACGACACTTGCGAACGAATGCGCCGTTTTGTAACTCGAGCACGTACCAAATGATTTACATACCTGCCTAATTATATTGTATTCGCGGCTATATACAATTCAACATCAGTTTTATGATGCATAATGCTATTATTTTCTAAACAGAAAATCAAGTCTGCGAACACATCATATGATTATGTATTGGTCATGTACAAGTACACTTCTAGGTACGAGTTTCTAGGTATGTTTCTGTTGTAATTTTAGTTTGGGTTTTATCAGGTACTATCGTCTGCAAAAATTTAAGAAACAGACAAATAAAACCAGATTAAATAATCCAGCCTGCTTACTTATGGTTTTTGTTTCATATTTACTATTTTTTTTTACGTGAGGTTTGTATGGGTTTATTTATTATTATAATTGTTAATACGATATTAATGTATTTTCAATCAACAAAAACTCCTATGACATAGGTACATTACTTATCTGGTTTTGATCTTCGTATATTTCTTTCTTGATATCTTTATAAAATACATTACGTTAAATAAGTATTCCTATAGATGGTAGTTATAACGTAAAATCGACGTTATGCTTAAAATGAATGTGAAATGAAGCCCGAGACAAATCTGACCACTGAACATGACAAATGTTTTAAATTAACCCATATTATCGAATCTTTCCTTTGTGGGTCGTTAAGTACATAACAATAGAGAGGCATTTGTCAGCGTCATGGGGCACCATACGACCATAATATACGTATTGCTGTTGATTGGTACATCACCATGTTTAAATATTTAAATATGAGATTCTTTATGCTGTCCATGCGTTCGTTCATAGCATCATAACAAATGACTACCGCATTCCGTGCCCCACCACATTAATTAGATATCTTCCAGTTTAATAAAGTAGGTTGATTGTACGACTTATGGCATTGTAAGCGATTAATTAATATAAAATAAAATGATAATAAAAACAACTCACGTTTAGTTTCACCCTATCGTTAATTAAATTTCGATTATTGATTCGTTACGAATCGTTTGTTGCGTATGCGCAGACGGTGCTCGATATTCTAGTTACATTTCTAACTGCTTCAATATTCGGATTGGCTATTGTGATGCTGCGGTCCTACAAATAATATTATTGAAGTGCTCGTATCCGTCAAACTTGATAGGATGATTTTTATCGTATCATCAAGTAAAAATGCGGCGCGATTTATAGCTCCAATATAATTTAAATCCAGTTAGATATCTCAGTAGATACGACTTTGCAAATATAAAGATGTACACACTTACCGCGAAATGATATACGATATTTCAACTGTAATAACAGCAATAACGTCTATAACTGTTAGTAATAACAAACTGTATGACATGATTATATATAATCATATTCGTTACATATTTTCACGCCTGTCTTTATAAGATATGGTTTGTTTCTGTAGTGAATTATAAATATACAATTTGTCTTTCGGAAAATTCTTAACACTACTCGTACATACCGTTATTTTCAATCGACTGCTAAAAGGAAGAGATTCTCAACTCTATATTTTTTTATGTTTTACCTACATTGTTTTTTATATTACAAGATATCTTTTAAATTGATTGATAGATGAAATGAAACGTTTTTCTTTAACATAATTTTAAAATATAATTATTTTGTATATTACTAATGAACTTATTTAAAGCTTGTAGGATTATATTAATTAGAGATTACTACAGTAATACATTTTAACTGCCGGAAGACATTTCATACGTTTCGTTTTCAATGATCGTTGTTTAACATTGAATTTCCGTTGTTGTTACAGTGGGCTGAACTTCCAAGACTTGATCGTGCGTCAAGTGGCTATCGACTCGCTGCCTAAAACACCATTCATTCTTGGATTCGAATGCGCCGGCGAGATTGAACAAGTCGGCGAGGGTGTGACCAATTTCAAGGTATTAGGAATTTAATATTTTAAAGGGTTATTGCATAATTATGTACATATGTTTATAATTATGAACTAGATAGGTTTTTATACAAGTTGAAAACTGATATACAACCCCTACCTTTTAGTAATATTAAAAGTGGAACATTACCTTATAGATTTATATAGTTATTATCCTATGTATATTAAACAATGACCTTATAATAGGGTAATTTTCGTAATCTACGGTGTATTGGTTTTCAAGTCCGAAAAAGTAAGTCTCGTATCTATACATCTTACCTATGTATATGTACATAAATTGATGTGTATCGATTGATATAAACGTCTAAACACTGATTTCTGATAATATTATGTCCTATTCCATTTAAATTTGTATATAAAAATAAAAATGTGTTAATTTAGAATATGGCCCATCTGTGTACCAACTTCTATTCGTATTCGTCTTAACGGATTAAGTTATTGAGTTACAAACATTCAAACAAATTTAGTAACTTCTACAATTTATGATACAGTATAATGGTAGCTAAGTAGTACCAATATAGGTACTTTGTGCTTACTCATGCCTAATATAGTGTTAGACATCCAGTCTCTACTGACATTTATTGTTATGATCTAAAAACTATAAATCTAAGAACCAGTTTCTTTTTTCCTTTAACTTAACATCTCCTGATTGTAACCAATTTCGTTATTGTTAAATTTAATTATAAGTTTCACCTCTAATCTAATGAAGTAATTGAATCTGGAAGGACGGTACGATTGATTAAATTTCTAAACTAATTTAATAATTTGGAAATAACACGATTAACTCAATTTCAATTTATAGTACCTTTATACTATTAATTTACATAGGTGCTTCGATAGTTACCCAGTTTAAATTGTTTGTTTTTTTTTTAAATAATATGAATATTTTACAATTTATAAATTGTAGGTAGTTGGATCGTAGACTGTAGATAGACACTGCTGATACAAACTATTTATTCTTTTTATATACTAACTGTTTTCTTTAAAACATAATTTGATTCATTTAGTAACCAAATAAAATAGTAATTACAAATCCTGTAACTAAATAAACTTATTATAATTCACAGGTTGGGGACCAGGTGGTGGCTCTTCCCGAGTACAAGGCATGGGCTGAGCTGGTCTCGGTACCGGCGCAGTATGTATATGCCCTACCTTCCGGGATGACTGCATTAGATGCCGTGGCTATCACTACAAACTACGTGGTAGCTTATTTGCTGCTCTTCGAAATAGCCAACTTAACGCCTGGCAAGAGCCTGTTGGTGCACTCCGCTGGTGGTGGCGTGGTGAGTTGTTATTATATTTCATATTTTTATTATATTTTATACAAATATTAAGGAAATCATCTTTACTGAGAAATATCGCGACATGATTGATCTTCTATCATTATATATACTATTTAATTAAAAAATTGAGGACATTCACATTTTGAAGAAGTCTCGCGAGATAACGTCTCCATCTTCTGTCGTTATGTTTCATATTATATATGTGTATAAAAATATTAAAGATAACATTTTTACTAAGAGGTCCCGCGATGTGACTTCGCGATCTCCTGTTATTATTTATTTTGAGGATGTTTTTGCTAAGAAATCTTAAAAAAGAATTCTAACACTTCCCTAAGGTAGGCTGGGAGAGAATGCTTTTAGCATTAACTTCGCCTTGTACATATACCTGTACTAAAGAAAAATTTAATAAATAAATAAATCTTGTGTATAACAGAAACATTTCATTATCATTTATTTAAAAAATGTACCTATTTCAAAAATTTATGATTGATATTCCAAATATGAAACGATATTATTAATATTAATCTTCGCTAAGTTGGCATCGGATGATATGTACACAGAGCGGGCAATGTGTAACACCACTCTAAAAATACATGCGGAGTAGCATTGACCCTACAAAGCACTGTTAAGTATCCACATCTAAAAGCTTCTCAGAACTGTCTGACTATATGTTTCTGTGTGATTATGAACAACGTTTAGTTCATAATGAGACTGTTAACTATGTAACGAGGCTACTAATTGTCGTATAGATTGGGTGAGAAAAACTTGTTTGTTCTGGAATCCGCAGTCTATGTTTCCGATTCTGATGTCAGTCGTCCTCGTTGTGGTCAATGAACTGTAATTGTAATATTAAAATATTGATTGATGCATTTTAATTAGATTCAGGTTTGTATATAAATATAAAAAGTATATTAAAAAGTCTTGCTTTGTTTTTATAGTATGATTTGGTTTTATTTAAACATCTATGTAAATGGTAGGGTAAATGTGGAAAGAGGTCACTTAAAAGAGCTGTATTGAAATTCTACAGTTGTATGTATTGACATGCAAGTCTGTAAATATCAACAGGTATTGTTAGCAGTTTCCACACATTTACATTTTGATGCTGATTTGCCACCATAACTCAGATCTAAGGATGATAGCTTATAAAATCAAAGTTTTTTTTTTCTTGAAAATAAATAATAATAAATGTAAGTAATCGTAAAAATATTTAGGAAATTAATTTGCTACTGGCGGGTATTTGAAGAATTAACTGTCTATTACAGTAAAAGCTCTTTATTCGCGATGTATATACGTTCTGTAAATATGCCGCGAATACAGAAACCGTGAATATGAAAAACCGAACCACTTATACAGCAATAGCATTTGTCAACATACTTTAGGCGTAGTTGTAATAAAGTCTGTTTACAAAGGATATCTAATCTTTTTAAATAATATGTATCCATTAGATCCGTGAATACAGAAATCTTTAATCGCGAATATAGGAATTGGGTCGCAATTTTTTAATTCGCGAATAGTGAAAACGTGAATAAAGGAATCGTACACCACGAATATACGTATACCAGCTTTAACTGTATTGTGAATGGTATAATTACTATAGTTCAGCTTGTTTTATGTACCTATCTTATAAATCCTATAATCTACCTTACATCCGCCAATGCAAAAAATATATATCTATGATATAAAAGCACTAGTACAGGTATTTACCTACATAGTTGCGGAACTACTTGCAAAACTTCTAGTAGTTAAACTGAAATTGATGGTATCCATCCAAGAACACAAATTGCGCACTCACTGAGATTTGGATTGTAATTTTATTCCATTACTTAGAAGCTAAACTTTATTACACTGCCACTCTCGCTATACAAGGGTAGGATTCTTTTAAATGAATGATAATGAAATGGTAACCTTGCGTGCGTTATCAGTATATGTAGGGAGGGATGATAGGCGTGGATAAACGCAGGTCAATTAGCCCATCGTGATGAATTCACCAGGAATTAATCCAGATGGTTTTCAGTAAGAATCGCGTGGAAGAAGGCCTCGTGGGATATTACTAGCAGTAGACGTATAACGAGGGTAGACTGCAACCCATGAATGTTTGCTATCAGATTATTTCATTTATGAGTAATGCGCGAATTATGTCCAGAGGGATTGCTAATCCTTGCGGTATAAATAGTTTCCGCTAATTTCAATATCATATCTCACTCTTCAACCTGAAACTCAGCATGCAAGCAAGCTTACTTGGCGGAATTAGGCGTGGCAGAAGTACCCATAGACGCGATGTTACTCATAATTGTATGTTTACCAGATTGAGGTAAACCTATTGTCAATCAGTATAAATTATTTGTAAAGATCAATATGACTACTGCGTCTCAAATTAATTATTACAATCACGCACAGGGCCAAGCTGTGGCGCAGTTAGCGAAGACTGTGGACAACGTGACGGTGTTTGGTGTCTGTTCCAAGAGCAAACATGAGGCTCTCAAGGCCAACAATAACAATATTGATCATCTGCTCGAGAGGGGAAGCGACTACACCAGTGAAGTTAGGAAGTAAGTATTTGCTGAGTTAACAAATCCGCTGTCGATAAAACAAGTTTATTATTGTGTGTGTGTATATGTTTCGCTTCTGACTATGCCATCTATAACTACAGTGAATTCATTAATTTCTTTTTAATAATATGTAATCAAATGAATTATCCAAGCTTAAATACAAAGTTTAAACTTGATGTTATGGGAAACTTGACTGCGAATAAAGCCTTTTAAATGCACATACATAATAGTATTAAAATCTATACGTTTGCTCCTGCATCACGCAAAAAGTATTGCTCCAAATTGGAAATGGTTTTTACAATTGTAATCCTGAAGGTTTAACTTAAAACCTGATGTACGTTTTATCCTAAACGCTCATACGCTATCTAAAAGAATTGGTTTTCCTACTTTTGAAATCCATGCGTATGAAGTAGCAGGCAAAAAGTTTGTTTATAATATTTGGGTTATAAATCATTTATGTACATTCACGCCAGATCTCTTATGATGTAACCACTAATTAGATAAAATTTGGTGTCATTCTTGTCGTCCTTTTTCTTATATTATTATTGCTTCGTCTAATTTTGTTCTAAATGAATAGGATAAATAAAAGGATACCCGTAACGGTGCACGGTAACGGTCGGCCGTGGAATTCTATAAATGTAGGGATGAAATCATAGTATTAGAAACGCTAAAAATACATCTACTCAGCGGCCCTTCGTCTTCTTAATAGGTATCTTTGTTTACGTTTCACACGCATTACGGAACCATACGAAATTTTATAAATCGTTCGCATATTTGTTTTATATTAAGAATTTTATTGAGATATACAATTCTAATGTTTATGTGCTTATATTTTATCTTCTGTATATTTAATCTGTATTTTTATCCATCGAGTTGAAAAGATGAAATTTTCATTTCACATGTGTATAAATATATGTTATGCCATTTGTTTGTAACTGTGAGCCGATTTTAGTGATTATTATTTTTATTGAAACAGTTTACACTTTCGTGTTATGTTGTTGTATGTTATGAAACGTCATACTAATTTGGTCAAGATTAATGTAGCTTTTTCGAAACAAAATCTTAATTTAACCTTATTTGTCATGTTTAAATAATAATAGTTAGATAACACACAGCGTCTCCTAGAGTCATTCAAATTTTTTACTTATTGACGTATTTAAGATTATTTTCCAGCGGGAATATGACCCTTAAAACAACTCACATTACCTATTCTCAGACATGTCTTTGCATACAGTAAAAATCTCTGTTCGTATCCTTGGGTGGGCATCAGATAATTTTAGAGTGGGGCCTTCCTGGTCCCCTCTAAAATACGTCTATGTTTGTACTGTGGGTACTAAACAACAACACTATTATAAAATGTGCAAGGAAACATAAATAATAAAATAGACATAAGATGAACGGTCAATTGAACTATAAAATTACGATCCATAAATCGAATCCGCCATATTTAATACCTAACACTATCTTGATGCACGTCTCACTCCAGTTTCTCAGTGAATAAACCAAATTGTTCTCTATCCCGGGCTTTGTTAATTGCCGGTTATTACAGTTACATATTTCAGTGCAAGCCTGACTCGTGTGATACAAAATCTTCTAGTGTAAGAAGATCTTTCTCGACTCTCTCTTCGCTGGTATTGTAAGGTTGAGCGGTACTAGTTTATGGTCAGCTTACGTTGGTCGGATCGCGCGTTAATTGTTCGCTTTATAACCCGCTGCTTAGGGCAGCTGGTTCGTAACAGCAGCGGCATTTAATTCTCATAAATAGACAAAGATATTTTTATATCGGGTGAGTTCTTCGCCGCGTAAACAGTGGAACCACACAAGTTCAATGTAAATAAATGTGGGCGGATATGTACTTCGGAATTTGTAATTTAAGACACATTTATTCATGCATAATAAGTTAAAAATAATATAGAGTTAACAATAATACGAGTATATTATTTATTATACATTTAAATTATCATAGTATTATGTAAGAAGAGCCCTAAATAAAAAAAATTCTTCATAGATGTTACTTTGATTTTATTAAAAACTTGTTTCGCATAATATTAGCCAACATCTTTATTATCAAGAAATGATTTTAAATAATCTATTTTAAAATATTTAATTTAAAAGAAAGTAAGGAAATAAATTAAACATTGGAATTTAACAATAAAAAAATAAAAAATATTGTTGCCTGATTTAGTATCATTGGGACAATGAATTTAATTGGACATTAGAATCCTTATCTTACATTATTTTTTAGTATTGGTTGTTATAGCCATATGGTGAGTTTAATTAATGGGGGTAGATTTAAGTAATCATATGAAGCAACTCACTATAAGCAACTATGTTTCCGTGATAGCTCATAAACATAAAAATGATAAACCTTTGCTTTAAATATGAATAATACCAACACCTTTAGGAATTGTATGTACAAATTGTTGAGGGTATAATATTGATAATGTACACGTTTATGGAATGACCGTCTGTGTAAGAAAAGTTAATAATTATTTAAAAGTGCACCATTTTAACCACAACACATAAGTTAGGCTGAATTTTTCGAATAGTTTCATGATAATATTGATAACTCTCTATCTATGACTCGATGTCTAAAGAAACCTCACTGTATTCTCAGAACTTATTTAACAATTGATTTATTTGTCAGAGTATCTCCCGAAGGCGTGGATATCGTGCTGGATTGTCTCTGCGGAGAGGAATGCAACCGCGGGTACTCTCTTCTCAAGACCATGGGCCGATATGTCCTTTATGGTAAGTACTTCCATTATTTTGATTATATTCTATGTAGCTTGTTGTTACTGTTCATCTTTTAAGACGTGATTAATACGATTTTTTTTCTTTTTCTGCCAGGAGTTAAAGTTACAATTTTAGATTATAGATTCAGTTGAATCGATAAATTTCAGTTATATTTTTATTATGTCTTGCCATTAAAAGTAGTAGTTAGTCATCCACTGTTTAATAGGTACTCTAAGAATTGTAATCATGTAGCAAAAAGAACTCAACGGAGTATAGATTTGTTTATTTAGTTTAAAAACTTCCAACGAAGGAACCGTGTTACAAATTTATAATTAGAACTAAATAGGTTACAAGTTAGTGAAAAATGACATGGCCAGATAGGAAATGACTATTGAGATGATTGCAAATAGAGATGAATGAAAGAAGAAAACATATTATACCGACCCTAAATAGATAAGGGAAACGGGCAGGAAGAAGAAGAAGAAGACTTTAATTTAGTGTGCCGTTTATTAGAGATAAGAAAATCAGAGGAGCCAACACGTTTTCAGTACGAAGACAGACTACCCAGTTTCGAGCCATATGAAAAAATGAGTTATGTCTTTACAGACATACGAGCACATATACTTATTGTCTATGATTTCTTAAAGTATCCTACTTAGTTTGAAGGTCTGACATTATAGTGTTTATTTATTCTCTCTGTTGGTTTGTTCATGGTGTCAATACCGAGGGTCCGAGGTTATGTTTTATATTATGTACAGGCATGTGGCATATGTAATAAACTTAAGTAAATAACTTATGATACTTATGGCGTTTCGAAACTAGTTGCGTATATGGATAATAAAAGTCTTGTATAATAAAACGGTGGAACTGAGTACAAGTATTTTAAATAATATTATATAATTATAAGATATTAAAAGTTTAATTCAACAGCTACATTGCATGTCATGTTCACACGTTTGTAAAACAATGGTATTTTATCGCAGGTTCATCTAACATCGTCACCGGTGACACACGAAGCTTCTTCAGTGCAGTGCGTGCCGTAAGTTACTCATCTGTCTAATATTTAATGAATTTTAAAAGTAAACAAGGCATAACAGCTATTGTACAGGTACATAGGTATATTTGCAATACAAATAAGTATTTATATTAGCAAGAGGTATATATTTGCATTGTTTGTTAGTTTAATATTTTTAAAAGATAACAGAATATAGTAAATCTGTTTTTTTTTGTGTATGTTTTGTAAAATTTCCACTGATTTTGCAGCGATTTTGATGATTGTTATTGCAATCGATAGGGTTTACTTTCCTGTTAATAATAACTTTGGCCTAAATTACGTTGCATTTTTTGTTACATGAACGTCTTGAATTTGTTTTTTTTTTTACATTTAAATTTTGCGTAACGATTGACTGGTAGAGAATGCTATCAGGCATTAATTCCGCCCTGTAGACATGTTTTAATGTATGCAAAAGTATAAATAACAAATAAAATTATTTAGTATGCCAATATCGAATGATATTAGCATACTATGATGCAGAAATCCGTTCCACTAGAAGGACGTTAATGAATTGAAATGATGGCGATGAGAAGAATACATTTTTTTTAATTCTCAGTGGTGGCAAGTAGACAAGGTGTCGCCAGTGAAGCTGTTCGTCGAAAACAAGAGCCTAGCGGGATTGAACCTGCGACACTTGCTCTTCCAACACGGACGCGCCGACTATGTTCGCCGCGCTGTCGAACGCGTATTCGCATTGTGGGGCGAAGGGAAAGTCAAACCCCTGGTTGATTCCACATGGGCTTTGGAAGATGTAAGTATAATCTATTCCTATTATTTTACTACTACTATAAATGCTGTTTATGAGGACGTATGGATGAACATTTGTTACTTTTTCATATAAAAACTACTAAATGAATAAAAATGGAGTTTGGCACGCGAATATTTTGTACCTTAGAACATAGGATACTTCATACACTACAGATATACACCTAGTAATAAATATAAGTGTGAAAGCGAGTTTATTTGTTGGTGGTGGCATCACCGTATAAGGAATTGTTACCATCGTCATCATTATCATACCAGCCCTCAATTGTCCACTGCTGAACATAGGCTTCATCCATAAGAAGAGTTTTGCCAGTAATTGCCATGCTTGGCAGACGGTTTAGCAACCGTTGTTAGGCTTTTGATACATTTAATAGGGACGCTGCTACCCATCCCTTGACCATTAAATTCCCTTAGTCGCGTCTTATGAAACCCACGGAAAAGGAAGGGGGTTGGGAACATTCTGTGCCGCAATTGTTATGAAAGTTGGCGTATAGTATTTGCCACATGCGTTAATTAAGTTACTTTTCCCTGTCAATCAATTTATCCTACACAGTTGTAGGTATAACCTGCTAATAATAAATAATTATGTACTCCAGTATTGTGTAGAGAAGAATTATTTTATTTAGAAATGAGTTGACCACCCTTCCAATCTATCCAAAGACCAAATACTTCCGAAGGGATGTTAAAAACATTTTAAACTAAATAAGGCCGTAATATTATTGCTATATTAAGATTGAGAAACCTAATAATGTGTGTACTCTTCTCAAATTGGCAGGTCAAGTTATTTCAAATGCTTAGTATTTTAGTTAGATATTTGCAATAATTTATTGACTATATGTTATTATAGTCCTAGTTGTTTGTTCGTTTAATTTTACCATCCAATATCAAACGAAAGTGACACAATTACTTTGTAATGTACAAGTTGCGAAAGTGTATATAAGTTAATGTATAAAGAAACGTATTTACATCCATTATCAGTATTAAATGGTCATTGATATTAACCGAGCATAAAATAAATTCATTGTAGTGGTATTGTTATCTTAATAAGTCACTTCATTCACTGTATTAATTAACAGACAGAAATAAAAGACAATGTTGCAAACTAAAATGAACAAACCAATTGATCATAGATGAACTTAAAATGTATTCTATGTTTATTTACTACCTAATAAATAATGTTTGCAGTAAAGTTTATGCCACATTACCTATTTATTATTATTAGTCTATTTATATCAGCCTATTAGTGGACTTAGGCTTCCTCCTAGAAATCATTGCGTGCAATGTGCATGCAATTATATTTTTTAATATAACAATTTTGTACATTAAACTTTAATTTTTTATCTTTCTTGGATCCCCTTGAAAAGGTATAAAGAGAGAGAGAGAGATATTGAGAATGTAGTCGTCTTGGTGAAAGTAGTGGTGTTATTAAGCTCATTGTGGTCTATATAGAGCGTCTATAATTACAATAGAAGAGTTCGAAATTTACACAAAAATTTTGTTTTGGCTATAATAAAGTTCTTTTTTCCAATTGTTATTTAGCACAGATGTTATTAGAGCACAGATAAATTTTTAGATGTTGTTTTCTTATTAAGGTTGTCGAGGCAATGCAGAAGATGCACGAACGCAAGAACATTGGGAAACTCGTGTTAGACCCGTCACTGGAGCCTAAGCCGAAGCCAGCCACGCCTGCTAAGGGCAAGTCGGGGAAGGAGAAGAAACCAGCCAAAGAGAGTTCAGAAGAGAAGAAGGATAAGGAGACAAAGGAAGAGGAGAAAAAGCCAGAGGAAAATGGTGAGAAGAACGGTGAAGAACCACTCACTAATGGTAACAGCGATGAAGGTCAGTCTCGGAATTCTTGTGACCAGGCATGCATAGATGCGTAGCTGCTTCCGTTTGTCCATTGAGTGTACAAAGATTAAGGTCTTTTAAAGAATGTCGGCATGCTTTTTGCTCTAAGTCGCTATAGTTATGCAATGAAATATAATTATAGAATAGAACTGAAAAATATATGTTCTAAAGCTCATGACTTTTGATTTTAATTCTAAATTTTTACATCTGCATGAAAACAATATATCGCAGAGGAACACCTGTCTATGCAAGAGTTAAATAAAAGTTATTTATTTTAATATAATAATAAAAATTAAAAATGATTAGCATGCCGATCTTTTTTAATTAACTTTACTTTGTATACGTAAGTATAATTTTTTTGCTTGGATTTGATATTCAAAGTAACTACGCACGCGTAAAGGCTAAACGCATTTGGTTTTGAAAATGTTTTGATTTTGCAAATGAATGGTTTGTATTTTACGAGTATATTAATATCTATCAAAATTATACATATTCATATCAACGCAGCCTTTAGACTTGTTGCTTAATAAATATTTTTTTTATTTACATTCTACTTTCTGCTAGCGCGGGGATAGTTTTTTATTTTATCAGTTTCATTTTCATAAGCCTTCGCTTTTTAGATATTATATGCAGATATTTTATAAATACTTAAAAGTACGTAAACCTACTTGCTTATAAAGAACAATATTTTAATTATTTTGAGGGACATTCTTATTGGTATAAGTTTTTCTGTATAATGATGAAATGAGAATATAATAGATCACGGCTTTTCATTTTGCGAATATGATAATATTATCGAAATAATACCCTATATCAAGCCGCTTGGCTAACGCGATCATATGAATAATAGAAATGAACTGCCTACCTACTACCCCTATTATATACTACTACTAACTATATTACTTTTTATAAAATTTAAATCGTTGATATACAAAAACGTCTAAGATTTACAAAAGATACACTAAAAGTAGAATGCGTTGACCCAAAATATGCACCCATTTGGAATCAGTCATTAATGGTTGTAGTCAAACGTGCTGAAATGTTGGGTACCTTTTTAATTTGGAACACTAAAATGTAACAGGATTTCAATCTGAGGATTTTTTGTATATTTACAATTTATATGTGAGATAATGTGAATTTGTCATGAAGGAGACTACATATAAACGAAGTCTAGAGGTTGCTACACAAAATATACGTTTAGCCAACTTGGTCATAAAATGTCGGGTCTGAGACCTCACTAGAAAATCATTAGTGAGTCGACTTTACCATAACAGTATTTACGCTTTTATGTACATAAACTATATGTGTTATAATAAAAGATGTATTTTACTGAAATTGAAATACATTAGGACAAAAATTACGTAACCGCCTAGCCACAATGCACTGCCGTTGCCACATATAAAACCACAGTTTGCGGCATTAATCTTATTAAAATATTATTTTTATTTTATTTTATTGTAGTTACGGTTTTAATTATAATATGTGACAGATAATTTAACATATTTTTATTAGAATCTCAGATATCTCGGTATTTTTATAATATATAATTTTATTTTTAATGTATTCATTATGTCTTACTAGTATAGTTAACATCGGTAATAAATTGTATTAAAATTTTATTGCCTGTATTTTAGGCACATTCATGGCTTATCTATATATTAAGTAAAAATATGAAAGTAGTAGGTAACTCTAGGTGAAAATAATTTTGTTATTTTTAATTTATTACATTCTGAATTTCACTTACCTAAGGAGGTAATTTATAAATCTATCTATATGTTTTGAATATATACTATGTAAGCTTAATATGTTGTTTCAATTTCCAGAGTCTAAGGACAAGGAGAAGGAGTCTAGCTGAATTGTTTCCGTTGAGAACTGAACCAGATAAACCACCGCCGATTGATTATTTTAGAGTTGAAGCTGCTCGTTTTACCGTAGCGGCTGCGCCCGCGCCGGCACACCGCTCGCGCTTCGTACCACGCCGGCGCCGGCGCCGCTCGCATATAATACTATGTTGCCCGATGTTTTTATTATGTTTCGTTTAAGTCTGAATACGATGTCGTTCGATCTCATTTACTTACATTCATTATTATTCATGTTTTAAATGTAACTATTAGATACCTTATTACGGATCGAACCATGTCGTCTTTTTTATAGTTTTTATTTTTTGACGATCATTACATTTTATATTTTGTGACAGAAATACATAATTTAATTAAATAATTTGATATACGACAGCGAACATTACAATGAATTTATATTTTAATCATTTCTTATAAACATTACCTAATTTGGCCTAAGTTAGTAATTGTTTCTAAACTTACGAGTCTTTTATTATAGTTTAATGTTTAAGACTTTATTTTTAAGATGAGATATTTTAATCTGCAGTTATTTTGAATGGCTATTATATATCTAAGGTGCAGAGATGCTTAATCTTTATGTATGTTAAGCTTTAATATTTTATTAGTAAATGTTTAAAATTTGGCCCCACGAGACCCACACCCGCCCTCGGGTCGAGCGCTCGCTCACATCACATCTCGCTGCGATCCTTCTCCAAACTACCTAATCTAAACAAAAACAAACGAACGATAAACCTTACGTGTGATATTTTGTAGTAGGTATGCTAGATGTTTTGCAGTAGATATTTTTATGCTGCCTATACATGATATATTTTTTTTTATTTGAGCTTAAATATACAATTATTTTATATTTTTATACTTAGAATTTTTGTACATTATTTTCTAGTTAGGATGAAAGTTCCTGAATTGATTTGAAGGCACCAGTCATTGTGTGGTACAGTGTCGATGTAGGAATCGTGTTCTCGAACGCGTCCTCTGACTGGATTCTGGGCCTGAACTGGACGAGCTTATTGAGTCCAAATTGTGAACTATTTTTGTGGCTAACTTTAAGGTCATTCATATTCAATATATACTTAGTCGATGACAATCACGATATAATAAGTCATATTTTTATATACCAAATGACTATAACATTATCTCGTATAAATAAAGCTTTTGTATTTATAAACACAAATATCACATATCTAATCTAACATGCATTTTCACACGATATGTACTAGGAATAATAATAATATTTTGATACCAATATTCACTGCATTTCTTTTTGATATACCTAGCATATATTTGTCTACGTTTATTTTCGTAAGGTTGTAAGTAATGTTTACCGCCATAGTGTACAGTATGGTTATAGGTATATATGTACACAGTACTAATTAAATGTTTTATCTGTATTACACATATCATGCGGATGTAAAATGTATTCCTGTGAGGCTGAAAGTAGTCCGGCATCGTCGGAGTGAAAAAGATAATTTACTTCCTAAACACTGCTCAAATAAAATAACTAAGCAGTGTGCGGACGCAATGTGTGCTCCAAACATGCCTAACTCATTTGATTCTTAGGATTTTTATAAACTTTTTACCTTTTGGAACATTTTTGATAGAGCACGTCTTGCGTACACACAGTGCGCGTCGTCCGACCAACGTGTCACAGGTCACCATGTCCCAGTGTGAGTAGGTACCGTCTGCCATAGGTTGTGAGGTACGTAAGGTAAGGTAAGCACCTGAAGACCAGACTGCATCCCTTGTGGGGTGAACACAAGTAGATAGCTTTTGTATTATTAAATTTATAACACGAGTGGCAGTTGCAGGGCAGGATACTATGTAAGGCGCTTTGTTTATCGTACAGTGGCTTGGTGCTAGTTCATATTGTACGCGGATACAACTCGCTTCAGTGTCTCGGACCAATATCTTAAAGCTACTTTAGTCTTCTTATCGGTATCTCTTTCGCTTTGTGTGTCAAATATGTGCGAATTTCTTGTAATGTAAAACATATATTAAATCTTGTGTATATCGACCTGTATAATGGTTTAGAATTATCTTTGAATTTTCTTCTACCTATAAGAATTTAATGATGGTATTCCAATAGTGATTCGGAGGGCTGGTGTGACCGCGCCGTTGTGATTGTGTCCAAATTGTTGTAGGTTTAGTGTCTATAAATTGATGCCAATATTTAGAAGCTTCGTGGAAACATCGAAGTGGTCGTAAGATCCAGTGCCGTCACGCCAGCGGACTCCACGTATTCTGAGTCGTTATTGTACTACACATTTATTTTTATAAGGGCGGGCCAGTGTGATATCTATACTATGAAATGGATAAATAAATATGTATGATCTGTAAAAATGCTTACTGATGTTTATTATTTCTTAACCTTTATCCCTACAGTCCCTATAATTATAATTAAACAGTGGAGAGGATGATTCATTCTACCACTTTTTGAATTTAGAGGTAGTAATATAGCTGAGATCGATTTACTGAATTATGTAGGTAGATAAAATTTATTGTAATTTATAGGAGCACCTCTACTATAAGTAGCAAAGAGAAAAGTCTGTTTTCCGTATCGAAGCACTCTTTATATTAAAAAGTGGATAGAATCCTATTTTTATGCTACTTATTGTATTTAAGAAGTAAAAGCGATTGGTAGTTTTCTATGTTACCTAATAAATTAGATGAAAGTTAATAAGAATATTATTAGATAGCTAACTGCGCTAAACAACATACCTACATTCGTTCACGTTATCTATCAAAGAAAATCACTTAAATAATTAAATTTAAAATTTATTTAATCACATCTAATCTAAATACACACCATAGACGACGACATTAGCAAATAAATGGCAATTCTCGTAATTGAACGTAGCGAAGGCATCTCGCTCGTGATCCCACAGGAACGAGTGGAATATGTGGACGCTCTGCTGCCGTCGCTGGCCAATGCTCACCATCACTATTATCCTGTACCTGAATTGAATTGTTACTTGGTCATTTACCGTAATAAATATCTTACTTATCTTATCCTTTCTATTGTCCTATTATCATTATAAATTAGTACAAAAGTTTGTGAAGATATTTGAATAGATGAATGTTTGTTACTCAATCACGCTTTACGGCTGAATAGATTTAAATTAAATTTGTTATATGGATGTTATATCTTAAGACAGGATCTTTATAAACTGATGCACAAGAATAAACAGCGAGAAACAGCTATCGCGTAAAAAATAGTTACTTCGGTCGCGACAAAATGAACAGAATGTAAAACATGGGGGACGAAAAATTTATTATAGAATTATCAAAATCAACTCAGAATTGGCGAAGATATCGTATAGTTACAAAATTCGATGAATTGAGAATTTTTTTAGAAATCTGAACCAAGTCGATAATTACAACTTACTATACATAAATTGTGGCCAAGATCATACATATTCCAACGAGTCTTTCCTAATTGTATATAGCTGTTAGCATTTTTTTTTAAAACAACAACAGTATAAAGCTGATAAAGCCGATACTCCGGCTATAAAAGGCAGAATGTACATCATACTCCTTACAAAACTTCCAGCATTTTTTAATCGTGTTACATTTTGAGTGATTTTATCAATGCTTTAGGTATGTCTCAAGGACCTGCCAAGCCGATATTATTGACATATTACCTACCTGTTATAATTTTCTTCTTTGATAGCATTACGTAGAGTTTCAGCCAAGCTGAGACAAAGTTCTGGAATTTGTTTCTCGCTATATTCGACCTCGTTGAGTTCATATGAGACCACTCGTTGCAATATTTTCTGTATTTGTTCCGCGTCGAAACGCTTCTTAGGATTGAGTTGATAAGTCGGTTGGTAAGTTCTGACCTAATTAAGAAATAAATGTGAGTAAAACTACATGGGTTCTGTCTATGGCGTGCGCTGTATCTATACTATTTGTATCAGTTCCCGAACCGCAGGTGAATTTTAGAAAGAATAGAATAGAAGTATGGAGTAAATTGGTATAGGTACGTACATATGCTAAAATCGAAAACCAGAAATAAAAGTAAAAATGGAATCATAGGATTTTGTTGTAGTTAACAAAATTAATGTGGATCCGATATAGAAGAGAATAGAATGATTTAGAATACATAAGAATAATTAAAACCGTTTCGTAGAGCAAAATACAATCTTTACAATAATACTAAGCTTTATTTTTGATTCACGAGTAACATTATAGTGAACTGACTGCTTGGCTAAAATTTGGTCCTTTTGACACCAGCAATATTAATCGATAATTGAGAAAGGAGACAATTTTGTTATATAATGTGATGTTAACGGTGTTAATATCAATTTAGCAAATATATATGCAGTATAACCATAATATTTGAGTGACCTGTTTCGGCGGAGGTGCTGCAGTAGGTTTACTTTCCGACATCTTGTCCAGTATTTATGTAACTAGATTTCTTAAATATGTGCACTTGATTTTAAAAAGATTAAATGCGTCTGCAATTCTCGCGTTAAAAGGCGTTTCAGGAAGAATAATAAAATTAGATATAAAATGATTACACAGAGCACTGTCAACTTAGTTTGATCAATACGAATTCCGCTTTATTTTATAGCTATAAAGATCTAGAGGTGCTCAGGTACCTCTTTACATTTTATCTTTTTCATAATTTCAGCCGTTAACTATCCACTGCTGATCATAAGTCTTCTCTATAAGGGGAGTTTCTCCAGTAGTTGTCACGCTTGGCAAGCGGGTTGGCAACCGCAATTAGTTGAGAAGAGGGACGCTGCTGCTAATCCCTCTATCATTAAGTTTTCTTAATTGTCTCTTACGACGCCTACAGAAAAGGAAGGAGTGGCCTATTTTATGCCGGGACCATACGGCCAATATCAATAGGTACATCTATTTAATATAATTTATAACTATAACCTTTTAATCACGATGATATCCATGGGAACCACGCGGAAGTCAACCTAACAGGGTATATTGTTAGCGATGGGACTATTATTCCCTATTACTGACAATCCCTTCTCACCAAAATGAGACCATAAGCATAGTAGTTAGCATTAGCTACAGTAGATTAATCAATTCTTACCGGATTTTATTTTGTTGCAAAAAGTTATTATTAAAATAATTTATTAACAATTCTCGTAAGTAGTTAATTTTTTTTTGTACATTTTAAGATAGATATCAGATTCAGAAAAGACCCACAAAGCAAGTACTTAGGTACACAGGCGGACTTATCATAGTATACAGACGTCTTCTTATCATGCTTGCGTGTAATTGTATGTACAAATTATGTATTGAAACCGAATTGTATTTTGTATACATATGTATTGTTGTTTTTTTCATTGACGTAGTTACCAGTTTCTGACTGTTGATCATCTGCCGTGGGTTATTGCTTCTGATTGAAAACCTTCTGTACTCTTTAGACATTATAATTATGAATTAATGGTATAGGTATTTACTACTACAGAATTGTACCTATACGGGAACAATAGTACAGACGTTATTTAATTCGATATTTTGTCAAAATCAAAGCCATCGAGTTGTCTTTAAAAAAATAATTCTAAATCAGTTTAGAACCGACAGAATTATGAGGTAACAAATATATTAGCGGAAAAAATGAATCGATATATAAAATATCCTATAAGTTAAAATATGATATATAATCTATCTTCAAAAAGTTTTAGCTAATTCAACTGATCGGTTGTTCTAAAGTATTTTATACGTGATTTTTTAGATTAATATAGCTATTTTTTTAATGGGTGAAAATGGAATGGTAGGCTCTACCCGCGCTATCGGTATACACCGACGACAGGCGCCAGTGGAAGATGATAGATGAGAATGAATGCAGGTCAGTTGTCCCACCATGATGAATTGGACAAGAATCAACTCTGTTAGTTCCCTGTTAGGGTATTGGGCTTTTTAGGGCATATTAAGTAAATTAATAATTGTGATCTGGCGCGGTTTAGGTCCTGGTTGAGAAATTAACTAATATGTAGGGTAGGTACACTGAAAATTTGTATAACTTAAGAATAAAATAAATTAAAATCAAAATATTACATTTATTTTATTCGATCTGATCATGATAATGATAATATGAGGGTATGTTTTCCACTTGCTGATTAAAAGTTACCTATCATCGTAAGTAAAAGAGAAGCAATAAAGCAAGTTATCACACAGGACGTAGTAAGTTAGGACGCAGCTTTTCGATCATCTCTCTCACCCTTTTTATTTGTTTACCTACTGTTAAACAAATAATGGCATATAACAACATTAGCACTCCTTTAATCCTCAAATGAAATTGCGCAAATCATGTACAGGTCTCTCATATGAGACAAAATAAGCTTTGTTCATGAATCATAAAGTTTTTTAACTTTTAATTCCTTGTCTATTTCTTTAATATGATTCATATCGATCTTTATATACCCCCAAAACATCTCACAGATAACATGCAAGTAATATGTCAGTTTTTTTTCAATTGACCGCTTCAATGTGGTCACGTCTTTGTTGTATGAATCTTATCGTCATTTAGATATAGCTGTATGATAGAAACCATTTATTTTTGAGCATTGGTTACATATAGGTTTTAAATAGCATGTCATTCTTTGTCTATGTTTTTCATACATCAGAGACATAGAATAAGTTATAAATATTATGATAATAATAATAATACTTATGTTCTGTTGACATTTGTTTGATATTTAATAATGACGCTATCGCCAGCTATATGTCAATCTTTTTGTGACAGCTAGTGTTGTATAATAGCGTTATACTAAGTATGCACTAAGTCTATCACAGACATAATTATTACGTGCTAAGAACAAGGAAATACATAGAAGGAATGATAAAATAAAAATTGTAAATCATATGGTTGCCTCCTTTCTTCTTATGTAAACGTAATTAATAAAAAGAGGACGAAAGATACATCATCAGTACTCGCGGCCGTTGCGCGTTGGCAATTTTAGGGGCTCGCTATCTATTTATCTATCTATTAGTACTCTACACTAGTGACAGAAGCCGGACCGAACCTGTGTTTTTATTTACATGTGATGGTCTTTGTTTTGGTTCGTAAATACCAAAATTTTTAATAGTTTGTAAATTATGAAAGTAGCAATTTCATTAATATTTAATTAACGATGAGTAAGCAATTATCAATAGATACATTCTTTAAGTTTTCTAAAATTCAAACGAATACAAATGTTTTGAAAGAAAACGGAGGAGTAAGCGGACAATTTAGTGGTATTAATCATGGTGGTGTAATGAAGAAAAACCGCTTTAGTTTAAAAAAGCCTACAACTCCTTCCAAATCATCTAATATGACTACAGATACAAATACATGGGTTCCAACTGAAAATGTTGATGTTGTGAATTTGATTAGTGACGATGAAGATACTGATCTTATGAATGCAGTTGACTTAGTTGAATGTGTACTAAATTCATCACAATTATCGAGTGCTAGTGATAGTGCTGTGTCTGAATCCTCACAGAGAACTGTAATATATGATATCTCATCTGAATCTATTGATCGAACATTTGTGACACCTAGTAAAATACCAATTACACCTACAAAGTCTCCAATTACACCCACCAGAACTCCTGCATGTCATATCCTTACTCCAACAACTTCCAGTACTTCTAGCCCAGGTTCCAAAAATAAGTTTTATTCACCTACTAAAAAACGCACAGTTGTCAAAAGAAGTCCTGTGAAGAGAAAGTTGGATCAAGATTTTGCTCAAGTTACTGATAATGATGATTATTTTAAAGCATGTGATGGCATGGATGACAAAAGTAAGCTTTAATATTATAAATTATTCAACTTACAAAAGTAGTTTATACAATATTTTTTTAGAAAACTTGATGGGTATGTGTCTTCTGTCTGAAATTGGAAATTCTATTCACGGTTTTTATTCACAGTCTTCAAAGTATCTTTTTTTTTTTTAATATAAGAGAACATTAATATTGATCTTTATCATTAATATATTTTCAGCTATATTTCTTCTTGAGATCATTCACAAGTTCCTTAACAATAAATCTTTAAAAAGATTGTTGTCGGAGGAAAGCCAGCTTCTTCTTTCAAGTTGCATGAAAGTTATAAAGCCTGGAATGATGATAGTCTGTCGTCTATATTGGCGAAAGAGAGGCTGGTACAGGAGTAAACAAATTGAAGATATGACTTTAAAAGTTAAACAGTTGGATGAGTCCAGTTTTCAGGTGATGATTAATTCACTGGTATCAGCTGGTCTACTTGATCAAAATATACCAGGTGGTATGTAAACAAACTAATAACATGTTTCCTGTAATCATCTAAATTTGTGTAATGTAATAATATAATAACAATGTAATTAATATAATGCTATTCTGTATAATTTGTCGTTAATTTAAAATATCAATTTTTATTTAATGATATTTCCAGTTTTAGTCTTATAACTTGCAATGTCAAAGATAAAGTTAATATATGCATGAAATAATTTTTTTTGTACTCTATTTTTTCTGTAAATATTTTTTCCAATTTATTTACAGAATCTGGTCTCAGTTTTGATGATTTTATATCTCTATTGAAAGCTGATGAACTGAAACAAATATGTAAAGAGTTAAAATTGAAAATACAATCAAAATCAAAACAGGATGTTGTGGATATGCTTAAGAAATTCTGTCAATCACAATCTATCAGTAACTATTTTACAGGTAATTTAAAGACAAACTCCAAGAGAGTTATTCAAATGTAAGTACATATTAATATATTTTTGCTTTGCATGGAATTGTTTTTTTATGTATAGATTTTTACTACATTAGGTTTACTTTTACATTATCTATGACAATTGACTATCCATGTAGAATTTGAAGCAAAATATAACAATATTATTAAAAAAAATATATTAGCACACTGATTGTATAATTAGTAATATTTAATATTAACTAACAAAAACATTATCAAATTTATTTTAATAAATTATGACATTACTATAGTGCAGATGTCTATTTTTCTTTAGAATTAATTCTGTACTTTCAGAAATACAATGAGGTAGAAGATTAGCATTGAATATAAATATAAAATGAGTATCAATATTATTATATTGCAAAATTTTTTTAAAGTTGTAAATTTTGTATAGAGAGAGACTTTGTACAAAAGTCGATTGCTTGGGTACCTCTGTCCCATTCATGTTTCAATTTGTTTCAAGCTGTGTTTCGGTTTGAAGGGTGGGATATGGTGTGAATTTACTGGGTATGGAGGAATAACACCTGAGTCCTCAGGAATGGCAATGCATGGGGGGTATCATGTGCGAAACAACTGTTATGTCCATGGTACTGCTCATGTCTATAGGCGACGGTTATCACTTTCCGTCAGGTGTGCCATCAGCTTGTTTGCCATTCTAAGTTGTATAAAAAAAATCCTTGAATAAATAGAATAAAAGAGCAAGCTTATTCTCTTTTCAGTATGAATGAAAAGGCAGGAGTTTGTTATAGACTGTCAGAATTTACTAGGAGTACACTGTACCGACTGTATGTTCTCATGTACTTAGGCATAGATTACAATCATATAAGGGACAAGAAACTAGAACTGTTACTTATAAATGACAAAATAAAAAGGGAAACTTACCCTGTGGATGCAGATATGTCATTGGATGATGCTAGTGTTGTTTTTGAAAGTAAACAACAATTTGACAGGTAAAATTTACTTATGCCATATATTATTATTGTGTATATCATATTCTTCACCTTGTGTGTCCAAGCATAGAGTAGGTCACCCTATCCTTTTCCGTGGGTGTCGTAAGAGGTGACTAAGGGAGGGCGGGTGATGGGCAGCAGCGTCCCTCTTAAACATCTCTAAAAGCTTAACTCCTGTTGTCAACCCATCTGCCAAGAGTGGCAAAACTCCTTTTATTGAGAAGCAGCAGTGGACAGTTAATGGCTGAAATAGTATCATATTATGTTATATATGTCATTATATTTACATATTGATGATATTAGTATGATTAGAATGCGTCAAATAATTTTATTATAGGGAGATTTTAATTAAATATTGTGGAAATATGTTTTGACTGCGAAGACAAAATGTTTGTATGATTAGCTTTTGTTTTAAAAGAGTATGAAATTACTTAGAGGCATAGTAGCCAGTCTTTAGGAGTGATAAATCATGAGATGTCCTGTGCTGACAGCACAGTGTATCCTGTGATTCACATTTACGTGATGGTTAGCACTTTTTATTAGATGATTTCCCTGCTTTTTATTGCCATTGTAAGTTTTAAAATATTTTAATAGACTTCAAACCATGGGCAAATAGTGTTTTGAGTCAGTATATATTGTAGTATTTCTTTTATTTTTGAATGACTGATTGCAGTTGAAAGTTGGGTACCTGTTTACTATTATATATTATTATATTTGTTTTAGTTATATGGTAGCTCATTTAATTTATGAAGGTTTTTTGGAGAAAACAGATCTGAATGAAAAGTGTGCCATTGTTACAAATGTGTATAGCTTATACAAAGATTTTTCCAAGGAAGAAATTTTACGGTGAGTACATACTTACATGCATACAATATATAATTATAATATATATTTATGCATCTTCCCTGTTAATTTTTTTGTTGGGATATTTAAATAGAGACAGAGAGAGAGCATTGTACTGATAATTAATTATTTATAATAAAATATACCTTTTGAAGGAAACAATGAAGAGTATCTGTCTATCTATCTATTATTTTATTATATTAAAACACAATGGCAATAATTGATTAGTATTCTGGTTAACTATTATTATAACAAACAATATTAAGCTAACAAATTGCTGCATTACTCTTGTTTTTTGGAGCGTTTTCCTGGCAAGTAAAATTTCAAGCTGTAGATAGAATTGTAAAAATTTATATTTGTATAAAAAGATTATTTCTATTCTATTTTACTTGTCCATATTTCACCAACGGTATTAGAATTTAATGTAGCACAAGAGCAAGTTCATACTGTAAATTTATAATTAATTTCAATTGTTTAATATTTCTGTTGTTAATAGAGAGTTAGACGAATATTTGAATTAGACTTAATTTTGTGGTCTGGGTCAAATTCATAACTAGAAAACCCCAAAAATAAATCTCAAATACAAATATTTGTCAAGTTTCCATTTATATCAAGCACATTATTATATTCAAATACAGACTAACTACCTACTTAAAAAAAGAATTGATTCATTGTAATAATGATTAATAATGAAAAACTTACTTATGTCATATATTATCCCTCACCAGATCACTTTGTATAAAAGTCGATAGTTTGGGCACCTCTGTCGCATTCGTGTTTAAACCGTGAAGCAGTTGTTGTTGTTGTAGTTGTATGGCTGTGTTTCGGTTTGAGAGGTGGGATATGGCGTGAATTTACTGGGTACAGAGGAATAACACCTGAGTCCTCAGGAATGGCAACGCATAGGGGGTATCATGGGCGAAACAGTATACTCTGTTATGTCTACATCTTACGTGTACTGCTCATGTCTATAGGCGATGGTTATCACTTTCCATCAGGTGGGTCGTCAGCTTGAAATTTTTTTCAATTTTGCCATTCTAAGTTGTATAAAAAAAACATAACATTGTTATCATAAAATATGTGTATGTATTAAAAAGAACTTTCTGTATTATCTAATATACTTTCTTCCTTACAGCTATAAGTCGCTTCCACCGTGGTTGCGTCGATTTACACCTAGCAATATATACGTGAAAATATTAGATGCTGGAATACAAGAATTAAAGAAACACAAATCGATAGAATACTATGAGCTTGCTGTGGAAATTCTCGATTTACTTATATCACAGATTGCTTTTAGACAGCACAAAAAAGCTGAATGGTACATGGAGAAAGCGATAATATTACGTTATCTAGGTAGGAATGATGAGGTACGTTCTTAAAGTATTCATTAACATATCCTGGATCATTTATTTATGATAATATTGAAAAGCATTATTAATGTTATTATTAGTGTGAAGGTATGGAGTAGCTCTTTGATGTCAAAAGATGTAGGCCATCTTCTTTATATATATGACACTTAATATGTATTTAAGTATTATTTATACTTGTTACTACTGCAAAGAAGACAACAAAGATATATATATATATATATATATATTAGTGGCGTTGAAAATTTTATACAATTCATAATTTTCAGGCGGCGGAAGTATTATTACAAGGATTTAATTCAGATCTTCCAGAAGATGCTAAAGATAGTTTACGACCGCGAGCTCGGAATATAGCTAACCAAGCTAGCCAGCAGTTAAAGTCTGATCTATTGCGACAAGCCGATAAAGAGACTATATTAGAGAATAAACTGCCTGCCAATCATATCTGCAAACAACCAATGGAGTAAGTATTGTTTCTGTGATAAAACTGAGTATTTTGCATCATTTTATCCTATATTTGTAGACTTATTTACGAGCACTTTTAAATAGTAATTTTTTTATGAATGCAAGGTTCGGAAAGTTGTTATCAGTTGAGAAGAGCCTCAACAGTTACTCTTTTAAATCTCTGTTAACATTATGTGCATTTATTTTAAATGTACTATGTCTTACATGGTCGTTAAAAGCCCGTGCATGATCGACTAACATCATGTATATTTGTCATTCAAGTAACTAATCGTTTAGCGCGGGGGGAAAGGGATTGTTAGCAATGGAGTTCGAGATTGCTAGCAATATGCCCCTATTAGGTCGACCTCCACGTGGTTCCCCCTGGAAACCATCGTGAACAATTCTTGTTGAATTCGTCACGATGGGCTAACTGACCTGCTTCATCCTCATCTATCATCCCTCACTGGTGCCCCGCCGGTGTATACCAATAGCGCGGGTGGGGTTACCATTCCATTATCACCCATTAAAAAAATCGTTTAGCGCGTAATAGGCTTTGTTCAAAAAGTGTTATTTTTATAGCAGTTAATAAACGTATTAAAGGTAGACCCAAAAAATCCTATTACACAGACACTATAATCTTTAAGCTTCTCAGTAGATTTTTATGGATATGCGAACATTCGATTCCATTCGTCTGAAAAAGAAATTGACTTGAGTATTTTTTATTGAATATCTACGAAATGAGGTCGCAGTGACTGATGTGGTGGTGTGCCTGAAAGCGCATATAGCTCTTGGCATTCTGCAAAATACGCATTAACCTAACTGTATTGGGGGGAAAAGGGATTGTTAGTAATGAAATTTATCAACGTCATTGCTAGCAATACACCCTATCAGGTCGACTTCCACGCGGTTCTCCCTGGAAACCATAGTGGTTAATTCTGTTTCAATTGGTCACTATGGGCCAACTGACCTGCTATCATCCTCATCAGTCACTCTTCACTGGTGCCCCGTCAGCGTATACCGATAGCGCAGGCGGGGATTATATTACATCTCCACTTTAAAAAAAAAAAACTCGACTGCATTCAATATGCACGTATCAGTATGCAGTAGAATAGACGTTTTGTAAAATTAGAGCTTAACCGACTGCGTTCCGCGGAAAGCGCACATGGTTGACTGGGTTGTTAAAATGACAATGGTATAAGTATCATGCAAATATTGTACACTTTTTAAAATATATAATAAAATATAATAGTAGCGTAAAATCATTATTGTTATTCTTATACATGTAACACTGTAATAGATAAGACATATTTAAATTACAAGTTACAAGATCTTACAAATATTTCTATTTATGTTTTTTTAATATTTCTATTTATTTATAGTTTAATGTTTAAAATCTTACAACCCGAATTCATGACAGTTTTTCCAAATTTGTTCTATTACCTAGGATTACCTAGGAAGTATTTTTATTGATCTTTTTATATTCTAAGGTCGTCAATTGGTGACGAAAGTGACAGATAGAGTGCGCACTTCATTGATTGTAGTATTTTTTTATATACAACTTAGAATGGCAAACAAGCTGACGGCCCACCTGATGGAAAGTGGTAACCGTCGCCTATAGACATGAGCAGTACCATGGACATAACAGAGTGTTCTGTTTCGCTCATGATACCCCCCATGCGCTGCCATTCCTGAGGACTCAGGTGTTATTTCTCTGTACCCTGTAAATTCACGCCATATCCCACCCTTCAAACCGAAACACAGCCATGCAAACACAACAACAGTTTGTTAGTATTGCTTGATGGGGGATTGCGTGGTGCTGCTGTTCGAATAGAGTACTTGTTACATAGTGTATATAGTTCAATGTTCTCATCACATTGCATTCATAAAGAGTAAATAAATAAAAGAGTATGTTTTCAGACGTGCTCAACAACGCGGCAAGTTGAAGTTTAAGACTCGTGTGGGTGGTGAGTTGACGGTACAGGATGCCGAGGATTACTGCATAACGCATTACATAGACAGTGGAAAATATACGCACGGTAATTATATTATATATATTTAATAATTTTCAATGTCGATAAAAGACTACAAATTAAAATGTAGTCGAACGTAAAAAAGTATGTTCGAATTAACAACCTTCTCCTTTGTGAATTTAGTGATGACAAGAGAAATATTAAGATGATGGAGAAACTAATTTAGAACTTTAGGGCTCCACGCATGTGTGATATATTCTGTAATATAGTATCCATAGTGCTGTTCACATTTATAGGTAACAATTATTATTTACCATCCGTTAATAATATAATAATAATATTTCTTTATTTATAGATTACAAAGATCCATTTTTGTTAGTAACAATTGACTTAAACTATGTTAGTAGAAAAAAAAAAAGTTAAGCCCCATGTTCTCCGTTTAAAGCTGTATGAAAAACAACTGAGAACAAATGAGATTAAAACAAAAACTAATTCTATATTTTATTGTATTATAGGCAAACATTGGGAAGGCAGATTTGCCATCACCATTTTCTTCTTGCTCTTCTGGGACATCATATATTCGAAGCCACGTGGTGTAGTGGGCATATTCCTGAGTCGCTTTCAAATGTACCCGTTGGATATGTTCAGTGACAGTTTCTATATGAATAGAAAGGCGTTGATAGACAAAAGACTGGAGTTGATAAAGCACAGCACTACAGAAGATATGTTGAATCTCATGAATTGCACTTGGGACAGCAGACCGGAGGGTAAGTGTATCTATCGCTTTATACATCATCATTCTTATGTCTTTTTTCATTTATTTAGCCGGCACAGTATGTATTCCACAATCAATCATTTTTTTATGCAACTTAGAATGTCAAACAAGCTGACGGAGGGGGGAAAGGGATTGTTAGCAATTTGCCCTATTAGGTCGACCTCCGTGTGGTTTCCCCTGGAAACCGTCGTAAACAATTCTTATTGAATTCGTCACGATGGGCTACCTGACCTGCTTCATCCTCACCTATTATCCTTCACTGGTGCCCCGCCAGTGTATACCGTTAGCGCGGGTGGGGTTACCATTCCATTATCAACCGTTAAAAAAAACAAGCTGACGGCCCACCTGATGGAAAGTGATAACTGTCGCCTATAGTTATGAGTAGTACCATAGACATAACAGAGTATACTGTTTCGCCCATGATATTCCTCATTGCCATTCCTTAGGACTCAGGTGTTATTCCTCTGCACCCTGTAAATTCACTGCCATATTCCACCCTTCAAACTGAAACACAGCCATGCAAACACAACTGCTTCACGGTAGAAACACGAATAGGACAGAAGCACCCAAGCAAACGACTTTTGTACATTCTCTGGTAAAGACGCAATTTGTATAAATTGCGTCACGCTTGAGCTTACTTTTAACCATAAAAACTAAAAAAATCCTCAAATTTATTAGTCGAAGCCACCGGGACCCTCAGATATTTCTTATTTTCTAAGTGACAAAATGTGCATCGTGCTTGTATGTCGTATAAATGTATAAAACCTGCTGACTTAAGCCTACGGCCAATTTACAGATGACAAGCGGTAAAAGTAACTAAACACATTTGCTTTTCTTAATTTATTTATTTTACACTTTATTACATCAAGTAAAAAAATAATAAATACAGTCAAGCAATCTCTTCCAGACATCCGTTAATTTGTTTTATTTTTAATTTACTTTTCTTAAAACATTTCTTAGCACTAATGGTAATATGTATTAATGAAGAGAAAATAATATAATAATATAATTTTTGTTTTTATTTATTATTCGAGAGTATTATTTTATTTATTTTTTATTTATATATTATATTATTATTCGTCTTTATTCACTATTTATTTTTATTACTAACTAGCTATACGGGTCGGTCTCGATCCGGGACGGCTCTTTTCTTATCTTTGCATTAATTAAAATTCCTGTAATTAATAGGTCAAAGTTTTATATACAAAAAAAAAAACTCAAGAGTCGATCGATCGAAGAGTAAAAATGAAATTTCAAAGTACAATCATAAGGCTGCGCTCATACCTAACGAGTATATATTTAATCGCCGACAAGTTTGGCATAATGTTTATACGTAATAAAAGATTGTGTAACACTTTCAAACCGATTTCAATAGAGGCAAGACCATTTATTTTGATTGTTAAACTAAACTACTGAATCAATTTTAAACAAGTTTCTATGACACCAGTCTGTAAGTATATCCTTCCAAATGTAAAGATATTTTCCAAATCAGTTTTAAAACTGAGGGAATTATGAGTTAACAAACACAAAAAAATAACCGAATTGAGAGCTTCCTTTATGAAGTCGGTTAAAAACCTCAATATTCACGGTGAAATCCCAAGTAACGATGATAAGGCTGCGTTACATTTATTGAGTGAGTCGGTAACTGATTTGATTGTAATCCGATAGCTTATTTGCCACCTAAACTCGCTAGTGTTCCGTGGTGTACAAGAAAACTCATTCGGATCGTATAGTTGAGAAACGCTGTTACAGATCCTGGTGGGTGGTTAAATTTTTCATACATACGTACACATTGTCGTCGATTCTAAGAAGCCATTTCCTTAAACTTATCCGTAAAATTTATATGTGATATCACGGCTAAATCTTTGTCCTAAAGACCAATATTATCTAAATATTATATATAATAATATTTACCAGAGGGAGACTATGTACAAAAATCGTTTGCCTCTGTCTTATCCCTATTCGTGTTTCTACCGTGAAGCAGTTATGTTTGCATGGCTGTGTTTCGATTTGAAGGGTGGACTATGGTATTTACATGGTACAGAGAAATAATACCTTAGTCCTCACGAATGGCAACGCAGAATTGAAAAGTTCATCCTTTTTCTAAACATTTAAAAAATTTAAGCCACGCTTCTGTTTTGTTTCGCGTAGATTTCTCTGCTTTTTAATTATACTTAAAAATGGCTAATGGCAATTTAAAGCACAAAAATAATAAAGTGAAGCCGTATTATATGAGCCATGTGTATTGAGGCGAGGTGTCGGGCGTGTGGTTGGCTGGTGCGGAACGGGCGGCGTGTACGGCGGCGGCACGAGCGCTGCAGCCGGCCGGCGCGGCAGCCCTCTGCCAACGCCTCGCCGTTCACTACCGTTACTGCAGCGCTGGCTTCCCCGACCTCACGCTGTGGAACGTGCACACCAACCAGGTACGCGCAAATACCACCATACACATTTGTATTCATGAGTAAAGGTATTTTTGATGGGTGAAAATGGAATAGTGACACCGCCTGCGTTATCGGTATACGTTGGCGAGGCACCAGTGAGAGATGTTGGATGAGGATGAAAACAGGCCAGTTAGCTCATCGTAACGAATTTAACAAGAATTAACCGCAAAGGTTTCCAGGGTGAACCGGGTGAAGGTCGGCCTGGAGGGGTATTTTTTTTAATGTATGATAATGGAATGGCAGTCCCGCCCGCGCTATCGGTATACACTGGCAAGGGACCAGTAAGGTATGACAGGTGAGATTGAAAGAATTGATTGGTGAGAGAAAAGGCAGGTCAGTTAGCCCATCGTGATAAATACACCTGAGATTCAGCACGATGGTTTCCAGCAGTGGGACTGGCAGTTCGAATTACTAATAATCCCTTTCCCCCCAAGGAGCAATAGAGCTGTTTCAAAAAAGTACCCACCCCTACTCGTGGGAGGAAGGAGAAAGGAATTGTTGTATTGGGGTTTAACAGCTCTATTGATAGCTTATATATATATATTTATACCCTTTCAGGTCAACCTCCATGTGGTTTTCTTGGAAACCAACCATTGCCTAGGTTATTTAAATTTTGATATGTTTATCTTCATTTTTGTTTAGTCAATAAAATATTTATTGATTTCTATAAATATATATCTATTGTATGTTCTGGGTACAGATGAATAACACCTGAGTCCTCAGGAATGGCAACGCATGGGGGGTATCATGGGCGAAACGGTATACTCTGTTATGTCTATGGTACTGCTCATGTCTATAGGCGACGGTTACCACTTTCCATCAGGTGGGCCGTCAGCTTGTTTGCCATTCTAAGTTGTATAAAAAAAAAATGTCTGACAATATTTGGGTATATTCTTTCTCTTTTTAGAGACTTTAATCGGTTATGTTAATCGTAATATTTATTACGAATGTTCTTGTTGTTATATACTTTTTGTAAAAGTGCGTAATATATTGCAATAACTATATGTTGTGGTTATAATATCTATATATTGGCTCAATAAGGGATATATTAAATATCGGCTATCGAATATATAACATTTTTTTTTTCTTCCATCTGTCTTGAAGAACTTTATATATAGCTAATGGAGCTGTACCGATATTACTCATACCTCTTTGTTTTTTCAAAATAAAATGTAATAATAAATAAATATTATTACAAATACATTTGTACTTTTCCATGAATTGTTATAATAAATGCTTGACCTCATTTTTTCATCAACACAGATTAAGTTCGTGGAAGTGAAAACAGATACAGACAAACCGTCTATGAAGCAGATACAGTGGATGCATTATCTGAAACAAAACGGTATTGAGACTGAGTTCTGTTATGTTGGAGTTAACACCACTAGGAGTAAATCTAGAGCCAGCTAATAATTTATAAAACAAAAAAATCTTATTAAACATACTCGAATACTTTTAGGTATAGGCTTGTGGTTTAGGTTAAAGATCTGTATAATATGTAAGTTAGTGATGCTCTTTGTTTTTAATCATTGACAATGTTATTAACAGTATATTTGATTGTCCGGTTTTAATAATAATATTGTAATTTTTATTGAATGTAATTTTTATAATTTTCTATCTATGGAAGGGTTTCATTAGAAGTTCTTTCGCCTATCATTTGCTTTGTGGATATTTTTAATAACCAAATATATTATCTATATTTGGTTATATATATAGTACATTACTGCAGCAGCCAGCAACTGAGGCATTGATGGACGAACGTGCAAATGTGGGCCGACGCGTAGTCGAGGCACACATACGTGAGTCCATCAATGCCTAGTTGTGGCCAAGGCTTGTATATACTTGTTACCGATTTTGAAAATTTTGTTCTTATTGGAAACTATTATTTTTTTTTATTCTCCTGAACGCTTTGAGCATAAGGGAGCATTATCGTTCGTTATGGACAGTTAAAGTAATAAATAGCTAATATGATAATGTGCAAAAATGTTTATGTAATATATAAAATTCTCATGTCACAATATTTGTTCGCGCTAACCTCTAAAACCGCAAACCTGTTTTAATGAAATTTTGAAATGTGTATTGTTTGTTTTAACTTGAAAGATAGGATAGTTAACAGATTCTGATTCACTTAGATGGTGGTAGCAGGAAAAACGTTTGCTGATTTAAATATGTTTGCCATAAATTAAATTGAAAAGTTATTTAAAAAAAATTTTAAATAGAAATATATTTGTACTTATTTGTAAAATATTACGATGCCAAAAAATTTCAATTGGCAAAATGTTGGTTAACTGTGATATTTGTTATTTGGAAGACGGAAAGAAAAAATATAGTTTTGTATATGCGAGTATATGTGGTTATAAGTCAAAATTATTATATTAATGCGAGTGATAAATCATTAATAATATGCATGCACAAAATTTATCTATCTCTAAATGAGTTGAGAAATTACGTACGTTAGATAGGTACGGATTTAAAATCTGTTGAGATAAAAGTATAATTTTTATATTTTAATTCTAGAATGCTGTGTTCAGATACAGTTATAGAAGTATATAGCCATTGGCCTATACAGAGTCTTTTAATATGACTAGTATTGGTAGTTAGCTTTACTAATAATAGTAAATATATAGTATTTTATACAAGACACTATAGTACAGGTGAAATAGTATCATAAAATTCTTTTTTATTGTTAGAGACATTTTGTAACTGACCGTTTGAACGAGTTTAATATCACGACAAGAAAGCTAAATGTATGCAATATTACTTTATATTATGTACCTATTTTGTTATTTTTATTACATTATAATAAACATATGTAAAATATATTGTTTGTTTTTCTTCGTAACCCATTCTTAAACGTTGATCGACTTACCAGAGGGAGACTTTGTACAAAAGTTGATTGCTTGGGTACCTCTGTCCCATTAGTACTTCTACCGTGAAGCAGTTGTGTTTGCATAGCTGTGTTTCGGTTTGAAGAGTGGGATATGGCGTGAATTTACAGGGTACAGAGGAATAACACCTGAGTCCTCAGGAATGGCAACGCATGGGGAGTATCATGGGCGAAACAATAGGTATACTCTGTTATGTCCAAGGTATTGCTCATTTCTATAGGTGATGGTTACCACTTTCCATCAGGTGGGCCGTCAGCTTGTTTGCCATTCTGAGTTGTATAAAAAAAAAAGAAAAAAAAAATTAAATGCAAAGGATCTCTCACAATAAGAAACGGAAACTGGTAAATCTAGAAATTTACTGGAGTTCATTTATGTTCTAATGTATGTCTGGCATCTCGCTTTATCGCCTTATAATTGCATCGTGTTTGTTTACGACTTATGCTTTAATTTCTTTAGTTTCAATTTCAACGATAAAAAAGATGTTTTGCATACGTTTATCAGTAAATAGGTACTATGAGTTATCTGTGTCATGAATGTCATATCATTTAACGTTATCAGTTCATGACATTGTAATAAGTACTAATGTTAATGTAATTATTTTTTAAACAAAACCGATTCTATTAGTCAATAACTATATATATAGGTAAATAAAAAATATACACATGTTTTCCTTGTACATACCGATATTAGCGATGTCAGCAGTATCGGCGTTATCTGTAATATTTTTGTATTGCAAGAACCGCGTCAACAGAAGAAAAGGCTACATGGATGTGACAGAGAAACCATCCGAGTTAACACCGGACGAGTAATGAATTTGATCCTATTTTGGCTATTGTTCTAATATAAATACGTAATTTAGCTTTGAAATGTCTTTTTTTCTTTTTATACAACTTAGAATGGCAAACAAGCCGACGGCCCACCTGATGGAAAATGGTAACCGTCGCCTATAGACATGAGCAGTACCATGGACATAACAGAGTATACTGTTACGTCCATGATACCCCCCATGCGTTGCCATTCCTGAGGACTCAGGTGTTATTCCTCTGTACCTAGTAAATTCACGCCATATCCCACCCTTCAAACCGAAACACAGCAATGCAAACACAACTGATTCACGGTTGAAACACGAATGGAACAGAGGTACCCAAGCAATCGACTTTTGAAATGTGCAATATGAAAGTTGTTTCATTACAACATATTTAAGGAATATGTTCTAGTACGTATTTTGATCTGTAGAAGTTATATTTAATGGTGTTCCGTTAAAATTAATTTATAAATAAATAAACACGCTTGTGTAACATATTATTTATTAAAATATATTCTACTAAAAATCATAACATAGTATGTACAGGTCAACAATACACCCAGCCTACAAAATGTAGGAAAATAAGGCACCTATTAAGACTTATCTATAATATATGAAAACTTTCAACTTTACAAAACCCATAACATACCAATTCCTTATCTACTATTTAAATAACTTTCACCGACAATGGTAAATTTATAACATCAAACAAGCTGTAAAGGTTGAGCATTTCGTTACAATAATCATATAAACTGATAGTAAATAAATTCTTATAATATTAAACTAATTAAATTGTCACTTTAAAAATTACACGCTCATTCGTGGGACGTAGAAATCTCGGTGCGAGTAAAGGCGCGCATTTGGATAAATGCCTAAAAATTTACATTCTACCTATATGGATACAAAAACGTATGAACAAAAAATACATTTTACAAAACGACGTTATACGTTTGGTAACTAAAACTTTAAGACTATTTAGTCGACTATGAATTTCAAAGACCACCGTTACCGTACTTAGAAATACAAAATACTATATACAAACACAAAATATTATGATTACAGATACAATAGAAACGGTATCAATTGCAAATATCTCGTAAAAAGTTCACTTTTCAGGTTGGCAAATGATATTTTTCTTACTACACGATTTCCTTTTCACACAGCCAAAGGAAGTGATTACACTTACAAGTTTCCTAAAACTTATTTCTAATTTTTGTATAAATAACTCTCATAGTTAATATACAATATAAATTGGCAAATTTATATCTACACTTATGTATGTATATATATATATATATATATATATATATATATATATATATATATATATATATATATATATATATATATATATATCTTTCAATAATTATAGGCACTTCGGTAAAAATGATTACAAAACCGGCGAATAATACAAACAAGACAAGGTTGTGTTACTTTAAACAAAATAATAAATATACAAGGATAAATATATTCAACCAAAAATTATATACAAATGTAACTTTCTAGACGGCGCTGCGTTATGCCACTGGTCACGTCAGTCTCCCCTGTTTCCCCAAATGGTAAAAAGATGGCAAAGGAATGACAAATTGCGATGATAAATGAGAGAAGAGTTGCTGAAAGGCTGCTCGATTCCTACTTATGACTGATATACTGGGTACTGGTCTGGAGTCAATAACTAATTTTGTCAGAGAGAATGAATGAATCTGTTAAAGAATTTGAATTTGTGAGTCCTAGACTTCTTTGGATACGATTGAACTTGGTTTTATTTGTAGGTATTTTTGTTGGACGACGAAGGATGTTAAGACGAGAATGGACGTATGGTGGGATGGTGAAGCGAAAGAAATGGTGGCTGTAAAGAAAAAGACATGAGTGTATTTATTGCCCACCAGAGCGTGCGTTTCGCGTTTTGTTCCTACCCTAATGGGAGACAGACGTGACAGATATATAACTTTCTAGTACTCGATGTGATACAAAAATGCTAAAGAATTATGGCATTGGTATGTACATCATAATTATGTGTCGTCGAATGAACGAATTATCTTTTAGTATTCGAAATTGCCAATGCAATTTTATATAATTTAAATTGACAAATAATAAAAGCAGTCTGATTTGATATGTACGTAATATACAATGATTTTAATACTATAATATATTTGGACGCAATGAAGATTTACCAAACGTAAGTCACCTTGTTTTCACTATAACGACATAAATTCGGCGCTCTTCATTGGTGTTGGGGGATCAGGGCTCCTGGTCAGAAACAATTAATATAATATTATACTATAATTCCATATTGAACCCAAATCCAATTAACTAATAACATACACGTTCTGGCAGAATATTCTAGTACTTTTTTTTAAAACTATAAGTATTCCACCTATAATAGATTATTTAAGGCGTAAAAAACCGCTTTATACTCTGTATTATTTATATAACTCGCTGAAATTAGAAGCCTTTTGTTTGGGAATAATATTAACAGTATATAACTACAGATGAAACTAGAAAGTTCATCTGTTGTAAACACGAAATTCTATTATTTTATTTTCTGTTATTATTACAGTAAAGCAGTTTTTTAATCCTGTAGATCTTGAAGTTAGGAAACTGTATGCCAGAATACACTGACAATATGCCAGGGCACAGTTTTGAATATTCCACCAGTGCATATTAGTAGTTAAATAATTTATTAAATAGTGATAATATTTTTATATGTTAATTATCATAACATAATAATGATAATTACTTTATGCAGTAATTATCGTAAGATTTGTTTATATATTTAAACATTAAAGGTAATGGTTCATGATTTTTTATGTGTCATTTAGTTACCTATGACCATTGCAGTAGGTGGCTAGGTATACAATGTTTACTGTACCTACAAAATGTTGACTAATGATAATGAGATCTACATTACAGTGATGATTATGGGATTACTATCACCTTATTTTATGGTCACCTTTGAAATGGAAGACAGTGGAGTATGTGGCACTTACGAAAACTGGAACCCCGTTTGATAAAATAAAGTCAAACTAAGAATTGTTTGTCAATTCGTGGCCTTTCATTATCGTGTAGATTTATAGCGAAGTAAAAATTACAGATCTTTATATAAATACGATAACATTTAATTATTTAAAATTTTATATCGCAAAATATGTGTGTGGCCAAATCGCTTTCAATTGTGACAATATGGGACCAACACGGGTGTAACTTATTCATTGCAAAATTGGAAAATAGGTAAAGAATTAGCGACATCGCGTCACATACAAAATTACATACGTATTTTTGTGTTAATTATAAAAAGACGAATAAAACGTCTTTGGTACAGTATTGTGCTATATAGATGGTCACAAACAATAATAATAATAATAAATCTCTTTATTTTCAGGTATATACCCATAGTTAACATTTTTATATTATTATTTAAATAAATTGTTATTATTATTTTTAAAATATACATCAATTATAAAATACCAATTTAAATTATTTCGTTATAAAATCTCTTGTCGTCAGGTATGCTGTGAGAAATACAGTCTTTACAATATTATTACTTGTTGTCATTAATCTGTCATGAAATTTTGCCTATATATGTTATTAGAAACTACACTATATGCGTAGGCTTAAAAACTTGGTAGAGAAAATCTTGAGATTGCAATTGTAGTTATGTCAAACGGGGTCCAGGTCCATTAATAAAAGTCATTTTGTTAGCATCATTAGATATGAATGTATAATGAAAATATATATTATAAAATCTGTAAAAATCCATAGTTCATAATTTTGTAATCAAGTATAAAATTACTATGATAACAATATCGGCAATAAAAATTAGCAGCCAATGTTCATAACAGTTCAGAAGGTTAACCCAAACAACAATAAGTTCTATAAACAAAAGTAATATTTGGAATAAAAGAAAGAAAAAAAAGAACAGAGCCTAATAAATAAGGTTGACTACAATGTTAAGTTTGGGAACCTCAGGAATATTGACTTATTTAAAATTAAAATTAAAATTTTACTCTATATATTAGGTCATTCATATTTCACTCAAAAACAATTTCACAAACATTGGATAATCCAGTCTTACTTTCAAACGTAAATATGCCTAAATACATTATTTAATTATTAAGGCACACATTATAGTCTGTTCTCTATTAATAATTCTATGCATGCAATAAGTATTAACTACACATACAGCTTGTATATGTAGTTGGTATACTTCCATTTTATAATCAACATATTATTTTTTAATAATATAGTAGTAAATAAAATGATACAGGAAAATATATTTTGTCGATAGATGATGTTACTGGATAGATTAATTACGAGAAAATAAGTCCCAAATTCCAGTGATTTTCCTAGAGAATTAAACTAAACGCATGTATAGATGCGAGCAAAAAACTTGAGTATTTCTCTAACACAATGCGACTTGTGTAATAACATTTTACGTACAATGGAACTGCGCGAATTACATTCTTTATGGGTCAAGTTGTTTGCTGCGAACTAGTGTTGTAAATTGATATCACATACTATTATATATTATACGAGTATTGCGACCGTCATTTATAATAAACGATTTGTCAAAAGGCACATTTATTGTCACAATGGCCAAATATCAAAATTTGTGATGGTCAATTTACAACAACCGTGAGCTCTATTAGTCCCTATACCCGGAAGGCAAGTCTGCTCACATGTTGGGTTCTTGCTTGAAGGGCACTGGCTCCAGGAAGGCGGGCTCCGGTAACGGTAGTTGAGGCACTAGAGGTGGTGATGATGCCGACATAGGGGATCCGCCCGCAGCCATCTCCGCTGGCTGCTCTTCTATGTTTGCGTCTGTGGATGCTCCTGGTGGTTTAAGAATAACATTATTATAATTTACTGAATTCTGAGATATCGAATGATGAATGAATAAAAACTATTATTTCTTACAAAAAAAGTACTTAACATAAGTAGAAAAAAGGCATTACAAGATGGAGCAAGACAAAGAGCAACAATGGGTGGCCTTAATCACTAAATAGGGATTTATTTCGGCAACCATAGGAACGAATTATTGTCTCGCCTCGCCATAAGGTCCCGAATCGTTGCCTCTTTACCTTGCATTTATGTAATTAAGCATTCATTTTGTGTAGGAATTGTTAATCTTTATAATCTGTATCATTTTTTAAAGGGAACAATAAAGTTTTCATTTATTCATAATGTTGCAGTCAGAAAAGTTGCATAACAGAGGTGAGTCTAAACAAGTGTCTGTGATAATTGAGTTTAACAATTTCTTCCATTGTCAGAGAATTGGGAATTAAAATTACAAAAGTTAGTGTTTGTCAGATTCAAACTGCAGCACTAACCAGTCTTATATATTGCGAATTAATCTAATCTTATTAACTAGTCGTTTCCCGCGGTTATAAATACATAAAATAAATAATACACAAAGTATCCTATGTGTTAACAAACATCCAAATGACTTTACAAATTTTTACATGTGTATTATAACTAGGATGAGAAATTTTGCAAAAATGTTTGTATGTTTGGTGAAATTTGACAAACGGGTATCACGATATATGCCGCGAAATCCGCGGGAAACGCTAGTACCAAAATATTTTGGAGTTATTACCACCGAGCAGCATCTCTTGCAGTAGGCTGTCGACGTGTGCGACCCCGAAGAGCTTCGCGAATTGTATTTGCTCGATCATTTGCCAGGTGATGCTCTGTAGGGGCGGTAGACACAGCAAGAGTTCCCCGAACCGTCCGCGACCGTCGTACTGCCGGTCACTTATGTAGTCCTCTAAGTTGATTTGGATTTGGTAGCGGAGCTGCTTGATCTTCTGTGGCTGGGACAGGCCCTTTGCATCTGCGGAGTTTAAATTTTAGTTAGTGTATCATAAGAAATGAATCATTAAAACGATCCGATTGAAAAATCGGCTCAACCAATAGTCATTAAGTTTGATATACACGTACAGTTTGGAATGAAGAAGGAAAGGCTGCTATTTATCTCGGGCACGTGGAACAAGTTTTTTTTGATGGGTGAAAATGGTATGGTAACCCCGCCTGCGCTAATGGGATACGCTGGCGGAGCACCAGTGAAGGGTGATAGATGAGAATGAAAACAGGCCAGTTAGCCCATCATGATGAATTCATCAGGAATTAACCATGATAGTTTCCAAGGAGAACCGCGAGGAGGTCGACCTGGTTGGGTATATTGCTAGCAATGGGATTCTCAGTCTCCATTACTAACATTCTCTTTCCCCCCCACGTGGACCAAGTTGTGAATATATAAATAAAATTAAGGATTACTAACTGGGATCGAAGAATACGATTGCCTTGAGGCAGGCAAACTCCGTGTCATCAATATCGATCTCTCGCAGAGGCTTCACGATCTCGTCCATCACACGCACACCAATCATGCTGATATCTATGTCCATGCGGCCGTCTGTAACCAATTAAACATTTTATCAACAAAAGTATATAAAAAAAAGTTATAAACAATTAATTATGAACAATTAAAGCTGACTTCCTGAAAGTGGGAAAAAAAGTAATGTCGTAACGGCTTAATCAATCACGTGACTTATATGTTATTGCCAAGTCGAGATATCGTAAAGAAAAAAAAGGAATTTTTCCGTCTTTGTTCAAATGTTATCTAATGATACGTTGGTAGTTTGTAGACAAGTGACAATGGATTTATAAATACGTTTACGCTTTAAATCAGCCATGATTCAATAATTCAATTGAAATATGATTTTTATATTTTAATAATATTATTCTATTTGATTCTGAGGCATTATTTGTCTAAATTTATGTCTAAAATAACAATTTAATATTACAGCGAAATCTTTACTCAAAAGACGAGTTTGAATAAAAATTCTAATAGACTTAAGTTAGTATTATTATAAATTTAGTTTATGATGGGTAGAGTAATGAGAGATAAAACAGTAATTTTGCGAAACTATTAAATTATAATGTTTTAGTTAAGAGATAAGCTTAGAGAAATATCTCAGAATCTCAATGACAGAAATATATGTATAACGATGTAATTGGCTTCACATTATATATACTATAAAGAGGAAAGATTTGATTGTTTGCAATGAAAAAACTTAAAAGTTTTTGAATTTATTCATTGCAAACAAACAAATCTTTCCTATTCGATTTTAAAAATTTTTTCATCTATAGAAAGCTAGCAACATAGGTTATGTATTATTTTCGAAAATTCTTCTCGTACGTATATAGGCCGGAATGCTAGTATATCATAATCTTAGAGGACTTTAATAAATTTGAATATGTTAAAAAATATTCAATATGGCCTTCACTACTGGAGTTATAACTTTTTGAGATGTTTAAGGCCCTCATTGTACAGTATCTCTAAAAATCTAATAAATATGAGGATTATGGGGAAAAATAAAAAATTAACTTACTAATCAGCGGGTCTACCATGAAATGAAATTCCGAAATTTCGGACTCAATTTCGTGTTTTTGTTTATACCAAATCGGATCAATAAATAGAGTTTAACATTTCGTTCGTCATACATCCTATCATAAAAGTCCAAAGGAACGATATTTTAACATTTTTAATATTTCCAAACGGCATGTATTATGTAATTTTAACATCAAATATGTGTTTCTTTTGACTCCGAAATTTCGGAAAACATTTCATGGTAGGCCCTCAGTTTATTGGAACAATTTTTTCTCGTCGTCGCGAGTCATATAAATATAAAAATAAATAGCCATAAATATGTATTTACATAATTATTTGCATAAACTGCGTAAACTGAACTGTAAGATGTTATGTAGACTATCCAAAAATATTGTTAGAAACATTTTCTTTACAACAAATTCTTAAGACACGACAATTATTCAGTCAGGAAGTATCATGTATTTGACAGTTATTTAGAGATCCTCATTAAACATTTGTACTTACACGTCGTGTCAATCAAAATAATATTGACGTTTTACCATGTTATTTTGAATTATCAACTTACTTATTTTGAATTCGATATTAATTTTGGGGCAAAAAAATTAAAATTGTAAGAAAAGGTAACGTACAGGATCAAGTTAAAATCAGTAGCTACCTTCTAAGGGAGTGTTCTGTCAGTGAAACTAATCATATTCATTAAAGAATCATAGATCGAAAAACAGCAAATAATTTTAAGCTACAACTACAACTAAACGGCGCGGTCAGCTGTTTTCAACTTTGTCGTTTTTTAATTTTTTATTTACTAAATTTCTATTGTAACCTATTGTAACAGCCGTTAACTGTCTGTCTGGTTTTGCCAGTAGTTACCACGCTTAGCAAGCGGGTTGGTAACCGCAGTTTGGCATTTGGTGATGTTTTAAGAAGGATGCTGCTCCGCATCCCTCCACCATAAGCTCCCTTATTGTAACATATTCTATAGTAATATCTAATGATTTCGATTTCATACTTCAAGTTCAGGCTCTACACATTTTACACGCACACACAGATACACCTTTAAAACGTTTGAATTTTGTTTATGACTTAACAGAAGAAACGTACCAATATTGTGTTTAGTGATGATGCAGTTGTTCCCGAGCAATAACACGTCCTTGAGGTGGAGTGAGCGACGCGCACACCCGAGTAGTAAGTGTTCACCGGCGTGGGCGCGCAGTAGCGCCACCTGTGTGCAGACAATTTTTTTTTTTATTTTTATTTTCATATAACATGATTACGTTCTCGGGCGTCCTTGGATTGCATGGATTGATTATTCGTAGACATTAGATACCTATTCAAACACAGGTGTCCGTCTTTCACTCTGCCAAATAATGCTACATCATAACAAATGAAAGTTGGTAAAGTTGTTTGGTTTATTTGTAATTCAATCGATTTATCGATGACGCATGTATTTGTGTATCTAATTTTATGGAAATTATTTCAGCCGTTTTGATATGCCTGGGTAGCGATGTAACAAAACATATAAATACTCATGCTAATAGTAAAGTGGGTAGGTACCTAATATCTATTACAGGAAACAGTGGGAAATCTTTTACGACACCCCCAAAACTATGTCTATCTTTGGAATTAGGCCAAATATTTGCTTAAGTTCATCCAAATCAGTCTAGTAGTTCAGTCATTGTAATATACAGCCAGTTATTTTCGCATTAACTATATGTAAGTATTATCATAATTAGAATTTTGTGCGTATATGTAATAAGATTTATTATAATTATTGAGTTTACTGTCACCTTATTAGTGTCATAGGCATTTTATCAAAATAACCTATAGGTCAATGTAACAGACAGATGAGTCGGCTAGCTAGGTAACAATCTCAATTTACCTACTTGAGTCATGTTTATAAAATGATTTATAATATAAATTATTTTTATGAAACATTACATGCAGCAATTATAGAATTATTCATAATTTGAAAATTTTATTTAATGTTGACTGCATACTCGTATACATATATAAAAAGATGTAAAACATGTGATGTTTTTACATGCCAAAATGTGTGTATGCATGGAGCAGGGTGCATTCTATGTTTGTGACAAACGAGAGGAATTGATATTATACATATTAAATTTTAAAGTATTATGCTTCATTGACGTACATCATTTTAGATGGCAAAAGACTTTTTACAACTAAATGACGTAATCAAGCATGCAGTTTGTCTGAAGGGAAATCACCACTGGAGCCTTGGTGATAAGATCTTTGAATCGCAGTACCTAGTAATTTTATTGCTATATTTATTCTTCTAACCAGAACACAGAGTGCAAATAAGCTGGATGGCAGCAAAAATAATACGCGAGATAGATAAATAAACATGCAGATGAATTTCTTGCTATTCTAATTGAATTAGTTAATGAAACTTTTTTATTCTTTTAAAATTATTCAAAAAAAAAAAAAAAATATATATATATATATATATATATATATATATATATATATATATATATATATATATATATATATATATAATGCATTAGATACTGACCTGATCATCGAGATGGAGCTCTGTGAATGCGGGTATGTATTTTGCCCATTCTACAAGAATTAACAGCTGTTGTTTGATCGACTCGCACACGTCGTTGATCTTCGCCAACTTTCTGTTGTTGATTTCGGCGTCGCTTACGTTGATCGTCTGTTAATATTAATCAGTGATAAGATATATAGATAAAGTGGAAAGAAAAAGTTTGTTTTTTCTATGTAAAATGTGTATTTAAAATAAAATAAATCTATTAGTTATCTGGTATTTGATACAAGCTCTGTTTAGTTTAGGACTAGATGGCTATGTGTTTACACAGATGATATATTTAAAGTAAAAAATATAGACAATAAATAGGTGCCTAGCTCAACACAATTGTGACAAGGCTAAGAGGTGGATAATATATAAATGTTCGATTCGGTGATTTTTGAAGAATCCCATGCTATAGTCTCTTGGAAAAACCTTGGCAGTGAGTTAATTCTATAACCTGAGCGTTCGTGGACATATCATGTAGAAATTGCGTTGTACGCGACCATCTAGGCTCATTTTGTAATGCTCCATCATTATAATGTGACATAAAACAATATCAACAGCTATAACATTTATAGTTGTGTTTACAATAAAATAGTCGCCATATAATTGTTGCAAACAACGTTTTTTTTTTATAGTACAGTCAGCTTCATAAAGATAGTTAGTGACAGGATCGTAAATATGTTGGAGGCAAAGTTTCGTTTTATCTTAGCATTTAAAGTTATCAAATTATTGTAAACAAATTATTGTAAACTAACCAATGATATTATTTCTTCAGATCAAAAGTCAACAATTACATATTGTATATGATTAATGTGGTCTTATGTATGTGCTTTGTTTAATATTTTACTAGTACATTGTGTTAATTAATTGTATTCGTTAATATAGATGTATTCAAAATTGTTGCCATCTTTTTATTGGAATTTTCTGTTGTTGAAACTGATTATTTTACCCAAAGTAATGGTAGACAGGCGTAACAGATACATATGTATATACGTAAGACTAATTAAAGATTTTAAAAACCTTAAGCAGATATAAGATTGTGATCCACAAAAAAAAACCGACGTCAATTGTGACAAAACCTGTTATTTTGATTTTAAAACTAAACTAAATAATAAAAAATAACTAATCTGAAAGTAAACCTTTTCAGATAAAAAAGGAATTTTCCAAATCAGTTTAAAGTTGACGGTTTAAAATTACAACCGAATTGAGAACCTCCTTCTATTTGAAGTTGGTTGAAAATTAAAAACTGATACGTTCATGTAAAATTATAGTTTTTCATTTATTTGCTCTTGCATTTTTTAATAAATCAGATACATTGAAATTAATTAAAGTTCTCAATTGCATGACCATTGATAAAATAATTATGTCGGCCATTGCCTTAAAACGGTGCCCGATATTTTTTGGCAGGCTGCGTTGTCATACTGGCATATAATTTTTAGGGTATCTTTAATATTAGCCGTTATCTAAATAATGTCGATAAATTAACGATTAATTAACTTTTAAATGTCCATTGTTGTATATTATCTACCATGTGATTGATTTTTGACCCAAATAAAAGAAACATTGGGTAAGAGACATACATATTTAGGGTTCCATTTAATTCGTGCAGTGTGTTCTATATATATTTGATTGCGTAATAAATATTTACCCCTTTTATAAATCTCCAGAACCTACGCGCAAACATTAGATTATGTTCATTTAAAAATATTTGGGATTTTCTACTGATGATATTGCTATTGAACGTTGTTATCTACAGGCTCCGCCCTTTAGGCAAAGGAATCTATCGTTAGATCCCGGATGTTGCTGTCTCATTCTATCTAATGCACGATACGATAGAGATAAAGTATCTACGGCAGATTCGTTTGCGATTTATCTACGGGGCGCTGTTGGGAACAGAGTTGCCAGATGCGATTTTACATTTCTACCTAAATTTGAAATGTTACTTCTTTAAGTTGATACGATTTCCTTAACTTTTATCCAATCACAAATAGGGTTTATGTCAATAAAATATCTAGATTTTCCCACATCCATTTTATATATCTAATTTTATTTCCAAATCTAATTTTCAATAATTTTATTGTTCCAAAATTTCGTGAGTACAAACTATTTTACCCAAAACAATTAAACCCGAGGAAAAAAAAAGAAATATCCAATCACATCATCCTTGAATATGAAAATAAATCGATTACTTATACCAACCTCATCGACGACCTTCCTGCTTAGTAGTTCAGCGTTGAGCAGTGACACCACTGAGAGACCATTTGCTTGTGAGGGCTCTTCGTATGATGGCCTTCTGCAGTTGATGCGATCTCTTTCATTTTGCACGGCTGGAACAAATTATGAGATATAAGAGTAACATACACCAATCTATAATTACAACACTTACTATATTGCATGTATGCAGTGCGAAATCCTACCATTAAAATTTAACATTTGTTAAAGAATGGTATAAAACGACAATTTTAATTTTATTACTTTGTAGAATAACTATTAGATTGTGTAAAAAAAAAATACCGACTTCAACTGTGACAAAATCAGTTATTTTGGTCCAAAAACTAAACTACTGAATTGATTTTGTTAAAATTCCGATGGGACCAATCTGTATTTCCTTTTAGATAAAAAAGAACTTTCTCTATGCATATTAGATAGTCGATATCTTATCAATTCTGAAACAATTTTAATAACTCTTTACTTATGGTTTATTTTTCGTTTGTTTACGTTTTCATTAAGTTTTATTGAAATAAATTATAATTATGTATTACTAATATATTTCACATCACAGCTAGTAATTTTATCACTATTAATTATTTCCTTAAATTCGCTAATTATTTACTTTAATTTTAAGGTTAACATTCATTTATGAATGTTAAATACACAAGCATTTGTCATTATAATTATAGAGAATCATTATCATTTATGAGAATTCTATTGGTAAACAATTGGACGTAATTTAAATATGTAGATACATAATAATAATAAACATCTTGTAGATATCTATTATACAGGTAGTGACGGAATAAATGAACAAAATTATCAAATATATTTAATAAATTTATTCATATTTAATGTTTAATGTTTGTCAAACACAAGGCATGCTGTGGTTGCCTACAAATGTAAGAACAGTTAGATTTAATCTACCAGTGTATTGTACTAAAATGTTTAGCTGTATCTTATGTTGGTAATCCTATAAATAAATAAATAAATATTTATATGTTCTATTGCCTTCTAATAGTGAATTAATCAAAAATTAACGGCAATGAATTTACATTATACAGATAACAACATGAGTATATGATTGGAAAGTAGAGTGAATGATATTTGGACAACTGTGTACACTGTACATATTATTATTGGTTTGATTGATAGTTTTTACGTACTGAGATCAATTAGAAGTATTGTAATAATAATAATTTTGACATTTAATGTATTAAAGTCGGTAATTAAATGCAAACAAGTCAGATTTTTCTGATTATGTTGTTTTTGTTTAGCAATTCATCTTCGTACTGTTTGAAATTTATTGAAATTAAACGTCGTACTTGCTGCATTTATTAAATTAATACAAATGAGATATTAGTTAAAGATAATTAAAATTGATAATTAAATTTAAATTAAGTCAATGTAATTAGTAAATGCTGTTAATATGTTGTTATCTGTATAATGAAAATTCATTGCCGTCAATTTTTGATTAATTCACTATTAGAAGGCAATAGAACATATAAATATGAATATATTTATTAAATATATTTGATAATTTTGTTCATTTAAATTAATATAAATGAGATATTAGTTAAAGATAATTAAAATTGATAATTAAATTTAAATTAAGTCAACGTTATTAGTAAATGCTGTTAATATTATTTATTAACTGACTCTGAGAGGAACTTTTTTTTAATCTGTTTCTTAATTCTTAGTTTTTAAAATACACACACGATTTGGTCAAAATAAAATATTTTCTATATAATAATTCTTTTTAAAGAAAATACATAATATTTAATTTTATTCTTTTTTCTGAGCACATATCAGAAAACAGAATAAAAGTTCTGAATACAGCGACAGTATGCATAGGCATTCCATCATATTGACATTTAACTCAAAAGGAATGGATTACAACAATAAGTATAAAAATAAGATGATAAGTGCTAGTCATTCGTGCGGAAGTGTATGCAAATGTACTACTACTAATTAGCATCGTCTGTAGGCTTTGTTTTTTTTTCTTTTATTATATCATTATTCTTTTAAACTTACTTTAATTTATTTTAGCTATTAGCTGTTTTATCTCTTTCTTTTATGCTACATTAGGTTTGTTTTTATGAATAAGGAGGTATGCCTCTAACAAGTATTTATTTGGTTACTCATGGTAGTTGCATTGACGAATAAAGATATTATGTATTTATCTAACCCAGTTATCTTTCCAACCTTATTATTATCTAATTCTGTTATCCGGCATTAGATAATAATAGTCAACAAAACAAAATAGTTTTGTATTTTAATCAATAAGTCGTTTAAATTAGTCATAGAGCAATCAGATAATTATTGCTCTATGACTAATTTAAACGACTCTAAATAAAAAAAAAAAAAGAAAACTGAATACAGAATTATACGAACACTGAGTTTTCTTTAAATCTCTAGGCTGATTCGCAAGATTCTTATTCTTAGAATTATTTTCAGGACGGTCTGATATTAATTTTGTGTTCAGAAATATGTAGGTATAGTTATTTGCATGTTATGTGCTTATTGGTCAACATCTATGACGACCTATCATGACGAGACAAATCACGTGTTATGAAGAAAAAATCAAGAGTCTAGAATTTGCGTATATACATAAAATGTTATTAAAGTTATTGAACTAATATGTAAGATAGAGATCTTAGGCACTCGGTAATTTCCGTTGTGTACCCTCCCTGTTAGAGAAATTGAGGTTAGATATATTTTGAATAGGTATATTGAAATCAAACCATCAACCAAGGTAATAAACTGCTGGTGGTAGGTACTTAGTGGTACGTACGTACTATATAGATTGTTGTGTAACTTGGTCAGCTGTAGGTGGTAAAGCTGTTTTTTATTGATAAGATAAATAAACGATAAGTAATCATATTTATTGTTTTACGATAAAAATAATGAAATTATCTTCAAATACTGTATTATTATCTTTTCCATATTGAGTTTAGTGATATATTATATATAAATGTATAAAGATGAAATAACCTGAGAAAATATATTTCAAATGTAATTTACTTGCAAGTTTATTATAATAGTTTGGTATAGTACAGTACCCTAGTAAAGTCACAATGTCTGCAATAGATATTGTCACTTTTTGTATTTGCGAATGATTATTTAGACCGTTTCCACGATACTATTAATAAAGTAATAAGATTCTTATACCATTTTCTATTCTAAGGGCTGTCAGTTTTTTTTTTGTCTTCTTGATATTAAAATAAATAATAAAAGAATTTAAAAAAAGATAGACGGATTATGTGAAAAAAGATATTTTAACAAGCGTTATCACGTTTAAAATATCTTTTTTAACAAGCGTGCTCAGTCATTTGCTTGTAACAAAGCAATGCCACAAGCGAAATAACTGAACAATAATCAGAATGGAAGCTTAAAATATGCTATGCTAATCCCAAATAGTGGAAAAAATCCGGAAAAAATGTGGGTGGGTGTGGCTGACCTTTTTTTATCGAATAAAGAAGTATAGATACTTATTAGTAAATGGAAAATTTCCGTAATTGATAGCGATAATATTACTTATGATAATGACTGATCGAGGTTTTAGAGACTTACTATGACTTCAATGTAAGTAACCAAAATAACGATAGGTCTGCTTATTCGCCATATTGATATCTTGGCTATTCAAATATTGTAACTCTAAAATTAAGTTAAAGTACTAAAATAATTGTATTTGTAATACTATATTTTAGTGACGTAGTTATACAAATATCTAAACAACAGTTATTTCATTTTGGGCTCAGCAAAATAAGAGCATTATGGAAAAAAATAGAACAAAATTAATTTATTAAATAGATTATTTGCATTAAACATTTGTTATTTTTTATATTATTGCTTATGTCATCTGCTATTAAAATATAAAAGGAAGAAGAATCATGTAAATTATCATCATCAATAATTTCACTTATTAGAGTTATTTACTTTACACGTTATATCTAAAATGCCAATCAACATGACATTGATGTACCATTACGTATATTTTTGTCTTGCAAGTATTTATTTTAAATTAATTTTGTACCAGAAAAATATGTGTTAAATCCGAATATGATTAGGATTCGCTTTTTTATATATAGTGTACGTACATTGACTGGGATCAGGATCTATTTCTAAAATATAACATATATAGAGAAAAAAATAAAAATAAACCGTTTCTGTAACCAAGTATTGTATCTTTTAGGTATTTCTGAACATCGCGATTAATATTATTTTATAACCGATACTCGTGATGAACATAGATAAACGAAAATATAATTTATCATTGTTTAATGTAAAGATTGTGTAGCGCATTATGTAGGTACCTGATTAAGTGATTATTATGCTCGTATAATGTGCTAGGTAAACAGTCGTTACGTCAGTAGCGTTTAAACTTGGAATGTTATACTATGCCTAATTATGCTTTTCATTTTAGAACATTGGTATCATAGACATATACAATTATGACATATGACATATGCAGCTCTTTTTTCATTATGCAGCTATTTATTTAATTAAAAATTTTCCCGACTTATCAAATATTACTTATCTAAAGATTTAAAAGCACTGAAACGTACAATGTAGATATACAACATATTTAATCATAAGATTAAATATCATTTATAGATTGAATAGATACAAGAATAAATCAATAAAATGTATTATGTAGACAGTTTGACGTGCATTGTGACGTCACAATATTAAGAAAATACAGCTATAGATACAGCGCACGCCATTGAAATAATTCTAACTTGCACGTAAAAGAAAAAATTATGTTTTGTAAAAAAATTCTATCTATGAAATAAGTGCATTAATCCATGTTTAAAACTTAACAGGTATCCACTACAGGTGATGTGTAATACAGTATTACAGTACAATCTATTAGCAAATTCTCTATAGGATTTATAAAATAATCTTATCTATTAAATAAAGTAATAATAAACATTTAGTAAATATTTCCAGTAGATTAATGTAGATAAAATTTGATAGAGCCCTTTTGTTTTGTTACTGTTTATTAAACAGTATTAAATATTGAAAAATAAAGGGCAAGTTGTTTCAAACGAATCCCAAAAGAAAGAAGTTCTCATTTGGTCTGAATTTTTTGCAACTACGTTACACGATTATGTCGCCAATTCTTAAGCAGTTTTAACACACTTTTTTATATGGAAAATCCATATATTGGTTACTGGAAAAAATTACGTTCCTATTGTTTCTGAATCAGTGACAAAGGAAATCATTTTAAAGTATATTTAGGCAAGACAACGACGATGCTGAGATGTTATATTTTGCCTACAAATGCCTCAAAAAGTGCCAAATAGAATATAATGTAGATGGTAGTTGAATTAAGTCTATGTGTAATAGCATGTCTTCTTACCTTCTTTTTTCATGCCGGCTTTGAAGCATTTCCTTAGCCTACAGTATCTGCATTGATTTCTTTTGTCCTTATCTACTACACAATTTCTGCTGAATCTGAAATAGAAAAAAAAATCTCTATAATCATTTAAAACAGCGAATAAAGCACGGTCCACTTAATAGTGAATTGAGAAGGTATTCACATGAAACGGCGACCGCCATTGTGCTAACTCTAATGCATATAGGTATCAAAGCAGATCTAATTTATTTATAATCACAATTTCAATGCGTTTGTATTTACTACAAGTCATATAACGAGGTTACATATTACGTGCTAGTCGAGGTTAAATTCTGGACATTTCTGAACTTTTTCAAGAATCTTTGACAGCTTAATTTGTATTATCTATGGTTTTTCGAGTGACAATTTTTCATATATTTTTATGAAATGCTCTTCTTCATAAGGTATCAAAGAGAAATTAGAAAATAGAAATTATACAGTCGTCGTTTGTATTGGTATATAATACCATTCGTATATTTGTCAATAAGTGGCTGTTTGTATGGCTGATTCGGTTTGAACCTTGGGATGTGCCACTGAAATTTAGGGCACAGAAAAATGACACCTGAAAATGGCAGTGCATGCAGAATACCGTGGCAATTGAAATTAATTGTTGTTCTTGGTGCATTTCATATAATCTATAGGCAATTATTATTATTTTGTGTCTTTCATCTGACGGAAAATCTGCTATTCCAAGTAGCATAAAAAAATAAATAAAAAAATTATATAATAGTTTTAACCCAAACATTTAATTTAATCTCGGAATAATTTTATTAGTCACCGTAGTTATCATAATAATTACATTAGACAGGTTTTCTATGTAAATCTGCAAAAACAGTGCTAGTAAGGGGCCACTTAGAGGAGTTTGACTTTAAACAATACTGCAATTTGACGTAACCATTACCAGCAAGAGATATAAATGATTACATTTTAAATGACTACCGTTGAAAACTGAGCACCATTATCATCTTTGTACCTTTAGCTTATTATTTGAGGTTGTTTCTCTTCCATTTTTCTCTATTTGCAGTCTGACAATTAGATTAGAAGAACATGATAATTGTTTCAATAGAATCGAATATAACGAATCACCAAAGCAATCATTTCAGACTTCATAGGCACTTTTAAAGTGAACGATGCAAAGTAAGAATATTCTAAACTGAAGAATTATAGAAACGTTTTGTGGTTATGAATCAAGAATGTTTTGCGATAATCTGGGTCATCCATAGGATATCACAAAGGGGGATTAAGGGCATAAAGCACAATAAACCAATACTCGAAGACTCGAAATAAATTGCTATACTTTTTGTAATGGATGAAGATGTAAATGGTAGACCTTATGCCAATGGTGTATAATGGCATTACATCAGTAAAGAACGAAACAATGAGTATGAAGTCAGGACAGTTGCTTCATCGTATTTAAAAGGAATTAAAAATTTTAAAAGAATTAATTACGACGTCTAGGCAGCGTAGTAATAGTAGGTTAACACCTTCATCTTGTAGAGAGACCAGTGCTTGGTTACATTTATTAAATCATTTAGCAAACATATATTTAAGATAGGAGTAAATGATGTGATAAAAGTGTGTGTTTTAAATAACAACAATAGGATCAGACTTGACGATATACCTGCATGTGTATAGGTGGTTTTTTCTGACGCTTCGCCTGAAGAATCCCTTGCAGCCGTCGCATGAGGAGGCACCGTAGTGTTTGCCTGTCGCCCGGTCTCCACATATTGCGCAATGTTGTGAGAGTGACACAGAACTTCCCGCACTAGCTTCACTACTACTTGTTTCTAGTTGAATATCACTGTCTGTAACAACAAATAACAAAAATTAAATTATGTGTATGGTAGCAAAGTAAGAATACAACGTGTCACTGTTTCTTGTCAACCCAAAGATGTTGTAAGAGGCGATTAAGGAAACCAGTTAGAATACAGTAGTGCAAGAGAAGAAAAAATTGAAATATTATCATACACCAAGATGCTTGGTAATAGATTATGTACTCCTCCTATGAGAAGAGATCAGTATCCATTAGTGCAAGATTAATATAGGTTATCAAAATTTAGACTGAAGAACAATAATCAGCAAACATCAAAATACTAAACCGGACTGTGATTTTATAGATTGGGAGAGTTTGTTTGCTAAATCTGTAGACTACATAATTCGCTCACTATTTCGAAAAGTCTTATTTGACGAAAAAACACTTGCTGGATGATAATTTGTTTTAAAATAATATAGAGCACAGATCGAATGAGATCTGAGGGCCTACCATGAAATGTTTTCCGAATTTTCGGAGCCAAACGAAACAGAAATTTGATGTTAAAATTACATAATACATGCCGTTGTGAAATATTAAAAATGTTAAAATATTGTTCCTTTGGAATTTTATGATAGGATGTATGTGAAAGAAATGTTAAACTCCATTTATTGGTCCGATTTTGGTATAAACAAGAACACGAAATTGAGTCCGAAATTTCGGAATTTCACTTCGTGGTAGACCCGCTGTATCATAATCCACTCGCATATGTGGTAATAAGAAAGATTTACAGTTGTTCCATTACTTTAAATGAATGCGCCTAGACTTGTCATATTTTATTTCAACTGATTTAAAATAACTGCTACTTAAAATACTACTAATAATAATAAAAACTAAGTGAATCTGTTTAAATCATTAAGACATTTTATTATTTTTGTTCTTTTAAAGGGATAGATGATGTCCCTGCTATCCCTGCTGATATCAAGCTGTTATATGTATTATGCTACATATGATAACACTATACTTTTGTATTTCGTTCTCGTTTAGATTTCCTCATTGGCAAATTAGATCCTTTATGTTTTCAAAGTTGTGGATTCTAATTGTAAGCTTTGTCAAATAAAAATAAAATGGAAATTGTTTCATCTTTATTAATTTATTGAATATTATTGCAGTAAAAATAATTTTAAGATTGTAGTCATTTGTACTTGCGAGGTCATATTGTATTGAGGCAAAGGAACTAATGTAAGTGCCTATACATACATGTTCAAGTTCATAGGTGAAAATGTTCTTTACAATGGTGACCGTGGTAAATTTAGAATAACTCCCAATTGTAGTCATATATATATATATTTGTCTTCTTTTTAACGGTTATAATATAACCGCTAAAAAGGCTTAATTCGATTATTTTTTTCCGTGGGTTTGTTTCTTGATCAAGTCGACAATATTGAATTGATTTCGTTACTTATTTTTGCAATTGATAGTCCCATATTAATATCTGATATGAAGTTTTTTGCTTTGCGGAGCAAAAAACTGTTTGTTATAAACCAAAAAAAAAAAAATTAGTAGACACTTAACCCCGATAATTCCAAAATTCAAATATTTTAAATCTAAAAGTGTTTACGAAATATTTCATCGATGTGTTCCTAATTTTTACGTAGCAAACTGTACTTGAAGATAAAATTACAGAATTTGATGCTGTAATTATTGCAATTTGGGATCATAATGATCTCAAATATCCCAATAACAAGATTATTGTCTATCTCAGATTCAATGAAAATACAAGAAAATACCTGTTCTCGATGTACATAGATGTATTTATACTAATTCAGTTATTTTTATCGTACGTAAAAACATGTGGCATAATGTGTGGGTGAAATTGAATCGTCTGCCATCAATATCGCAAACCTTTTTTTAACTTCTATCCAACATTTTTTTTTTTTACTTACATAGTTTTATATTTACATTTTTAAAGATCATGTAAACAAATACTGATACTTAGTATTTTTTTTTTTATTTATATCAATAGAAGGGAATTGGGCGAAAATGCATTAATGGGATAAAGAAGGATATTACAATACTTTTTCATGGTTGATAAAAAAAATATCAACCATTGCGCCGCAACAGCTACGGGTTTTTGCGTTGGAATCGTAATGCAACAGTGCAATATAGTTCCAATTTAAAATTGAATAAAGATTGTTATTTGTCGATTAGAATAGATAAAAGAATAATCGAAAATACAAAATATTTTAACAACATGAGAAAATACCTTAACTGTTGATACATTTGGAATAAGGATTTCTAACGTTTCAATTTTGATGAAGAAGAGATTTTGATTATTTGTTCGTGTATACAAATATATGAGCTCTACTGTCAGATAAGTGAGAGGTCAAATATGACAACTCAGTCATAAAATGGCCACATCGGTATAATAAAATAATGAATAATATAAATTTATGAAGTGTATAATAATTAGATTAATTTGTAGTAATAACTTATATAATGGTAAAAAATAAAGTCAAGCTGGGGTTTGATTCAGAGATGGAGGTGAGGTGGGGGAGGGGGATTGGTTATACATTTGTGTGTGTGTGTGGGGGGGGGGGATTTTTTGGCTTTCTATCTTCATGTTAGGACTGCACTGAGAGAAAGAGAGAGAGGATGTAATTTCAATGACAGACACGACATCGTAGCATACTTAGGCCACTAAAACTGAAAATTATATTAAATTGTCACTACCGATTATTTATTTGTGGCGCCGGATAGATAACCAGAGTTTCTCTTAGCTTCTTACTTACGTGTACCTATGTAACAAGTTATATGTTTTAGATAACAGAAATCCGGTTAAGAGCGTATCGGCACATATAGTAATCCGTAAAAATATTGAAAGGTTGTAACTTATTCACTAAAACTGTTGCTCATACCTCTAATTACTAATGAAAATATTCAATACACATTGTGTATACTGAAAGTGAAGATTTAATTTAGATTTTTTATTATGTTATGTAAAAGTAAAAACCTATTTTCTAAAAAGTGATGTTATAAATCCAAAGAAATTTATTCTGTAAATGTCTATGTCAATGGTTAGGTCGATTTTTACATCATTCCATAAAAATTCATATTACATCTAAAGTTTCTCCAATATGTTTTTCCCACTGACTATGGAACCCAAAAAATATCAATAATAATACACGTAAGATATATTCGAAGTTGTTATCGTCATTATTCGCTGATACTCATAAAATAAAATGATAGTACTTACACGAATGTGTAAAATCGTGATTTATTAGCATAACATACATTTTATTGCTAAAAACGCAAATATAGGGAAATTTAAAACTGGCAACACGAGAATAAGTGTTGTTTACAAACCTTCTCCACTTTGTGCCATAGGGACGTCCGTGGTCTCTGGTGGGCTCCTTTGTTCATATCCAGGGTACGAGTTCGCAGCCGGCTTGTCCCAATTGTGGAACTGCTGCGCTGGTGTCATGTATTGTGGCGCTCCAGAGAAACCCATCATGCACAATTCCTGAGTCGACATATTCTCGTAGCCAAATACCGGCATCTTCCGTTGGCCACGTGACGATGTGTTACGACTTGGTATTATCGACTACTGACCGTAACAACTGACACGAGGCCTCGATAGCGTCGTGGCGTTGTTGATAAACTCTCACATTAGGGTGCAGGTGATTTAATTTGCCCAAAATAAATATTATCGCACAATCTTTATCAATTTCGATTAATACACGTAATGTCACTGTATCGTGCTATGAGTATCACAAGTGAAAAGCGGTGACGAGCGACCGATGTCAGTAACTGAAAGTCTTCCGGGTGATGTTTTCGTTTTTATCACTAATTGTATAGGAACGAGTTTGCGATAGTGTTGTTTGCGGACAGTCACGCCGGTTTCGGGTGGCGAGCATCGACTTGCTTCGCGGCCTTCCTCGTACGCGCTGCGGCTTCGACTGAGTGACGGACGAGTGTTGACCACAATGCCTAACAACATCCGTTTCAGTGACAACTCGCTGAGTGCGCGATTACGAGGCGTATGAATGACCCGCTCGATATTAACTGAGATCAGCAGGATCGAGGAGTGCAGCGTGGTCGCTAGTAGCAATGCTAGTCCGCTGCGCTGACTCACCCGTTATCGGAAATGCAGCGGATGTATCGAATGTGCTTGTATCATACGACTCATTAGCAGCTGACGATCGAAGCTTTTACCATAAACATCATATTATAGTATTAAACAATACATGTTTGGTGACTAATTGATTGTCTCGTGTACACTCTTTGTCTCTTTGTTACTAGGCACCTTTAGTTTCGTATTACATTACTTGTTTACATGAAAATGAAGTAAATTACTCCTATTACTAATGCTAATGATTAAGCACTTAAGTACGTATTAATATATTTATAGAATGCAGTTTTTTGGGGTTGATTTGCAAACTTACATTAAAATTATATCTAGAATATGATACAAACAGATTCATGTCTCGTGAATTTTCAACTCTATACAATGAGTTGAAAGTTTTTACGAAGTATGAGCCTGTAATAGGCTATAGTCCTGTCCTACCAATCCCCCAGATAAAAGCTAAACCAATCTATCTATGGATAGTTTTCGTTAGCGTACGTATAAAAAAAAAAAACACAAAACGTTGCTGTCTCTTTGTATTTCATGGTAGCGATAACGTATTTATCGTTAGGTTCCATTACTACCTGTCTGTAGGCGGCCGGTATGTTTTCGTATAGTCGCTACTCGGGTTGGAGTTTGTAGTTTCTCTCTAAATCTATATCTAAAATAAGATATAATGTTTTAGATTTCATCCTACCATATTTTTAAATATCTTTATCTAACTTTATCTATTGAATTATTAAAATTTAGAGATAGGCTCGAGATTGACATATTAGATTCACCCACACTATTGAATGTTATCTTTACGGTTAATGTAACTTAAATAATATAGCTAATACTTAGATATATTTTGCCAAACGTTTTAGAATCCAAATTCGAAATTTCATTGCCCAGAAAAGGGTTAACGTCATGCATGCGGCTAATAGTAAAACTAAGAGTCAAAATCTTGGGTACAATAAATAAAAACATACTATACCGACTTATAATTAGAACAAGGGCAGGAAAATGATGATGGTTGGAATCAATTGTGCAAGTGTAACACCTATTTTCGGATTAATTAGGTTAATCAATAATTACCATGAGAGTTGATTGGAAATTGAAGGACATTATATTGACCAAATCCGAACTTACTATTAAGTAAAATGTACTTACGACCTTTAAGGATTTTTTGGGTCACGATAAACTAATCTTTTTTAATCAACAATTAATAGTAGAAAAGGAGTCAAATATAGTCAAAATATGAAAAGAAATTTCACTTTTTATATTAATCACACCATAGCATGCCATTTCATATCATGTGACAGTACGATTTGTATGAAAAGTAAAAAAAATATATTAATTATATATTAATGATTATTTTCTGTTGGGGGTAAGTATCATACATATATCGCTCGTATCCTAGAGTAGGCGCCAGCCAATTTTGGGGTAGGTACGGATAAATACGCCTATGACTTTATATGTTTGATTCGAAGGATAAGGGTGCGATATTATGAGATAATAATGAATAAGTTATAAATAATGATCACACTTTTAGAATGGTATATTTCTATTATTAATAACCCTGTTCATTCATTGCGAAAAATAATAAAATTTTGCTAAATGATGCTCAGCATATATTTTATTTGTGACACAATTTGTATTTATATTTTAGCAACTTTTTCTTAAATTATTAAATATAAATTATAATAAGAAAAAACGTCAGTAAAGTAAAATATTTCGATCTATTTATTATATATTATACATATGTAAATATATAGAATAAAAAATGAATTTATTTTTTATAATCAGAAGTATCACTTCTGATATACATAAAATAATTGCTATATCTTTATTTTATGCACTGTTTTGATAAAAAGACATGTCAAGAGTGTTTACTAACTGAACCAAGTATAGAATACAGATTGTACATATAATCATATGCTTATATAGCTTCAGTCTTTGTTTGGTTGTTGAGATATAAGATACAAACAGTGTCGGGCCGTACTATCAGTAGGGGCGGCGCGCCGGGGCACCTCGGGTCACTCGTGTATTGCGTATCTCGTGCGTTTCATGTACACAATCTCAACGCATTATAAGTATAATTTACAATCAAAACCAAGCTATTTTAAGTTATTAATTATATATAATACTAGTTTTTACCAGCGACACCGTTCGGATGACCAGGATACGTTGATAGACTGAGATAAAAATTCTAACAAATAAATTCACTTCCGCCTTAGAATAAGCGAATGTAGCAATTTCTTATAACACACACGAATCAAAAACAGACTAGACTAGTCTTTTTTTTATGCAACTTTGAATGGCAAACAAGCTGACGGCCCACCTGATAGAAAGCGGTAACCGTCGCCTACAGACATGAGCAGTACTATGGGCATAACAAAGTATACTGTTTCGTACATGATACCCCCCATGCGTTGCCATTCCTGAGGACTCAGTTGTTATTCCTCTGTATCCTGTAAATTCACTGCCATATCCCATTCTTCAAACCGAAACACAGCTATGCAAATACAACTGCTCACGGTAAAACACGAATGGGACAGAGGTGACCAAGCAAACGACTTTTGTACAAAGTCTGTTCCAGTTGCGTCGAAATACGAGTACATGCTTGAAATTTAGCTCAGATGATTATCATGAGAGGAAATGGGTTTTACTTCTAAGCGAAACCCATTTCCTAGTCTAGTCTATAAAAAGTCTTTTTCTAAAAAGACTTTTTGGATACAATTTTGTATTAATTTTAAATTATGTACAAAAGTTTCTCATGTAATATAAACAAAATCCAGGTTTTTGGTAAAAATTAGTTCCTCGCGGAAAAAGTGAAAATGTCCAAAAGCGAAGTTTTTTCCTTCGTAAAATATTTCGATCGTAATACGAGTAGATCGAACATAATTAATGTATTCGATCTTATTTAATACGTGTTTACATACTTTTTTTTACATTGAATTGATTTTTTTTGTGAGTAATTGGAATAAATCTGGGCGTGCATCAAGGCTGAATGTTACAATCATGTAGATATATAAAGGAAATTCCCGCTGTGAAACCGGTTCTTAGACCATAAATACTGAGAAGCTAACTAGTAGTTATAATGTTATGAAGATATTACTTTTTGTATAGAAAAGTCATCAAATTTAAGAGCTCATTAATAATTTTTCAATTTAGAACTAGGAGTCTATGCTAAAGCAAATGCGACATTCAAATAGTGGTTTTGAAGGATTGAATTTGTATATTGAATTCATTATCATTTAGTGATATTATTATTTTTATTTACAGTAATATCGCATGTAACAAATCACTAAGTGATTTTTACTACAATAACACAATGTTGCTACCGTTTGCTATTGAAAGATATTAATTACAATTTTTATAAGAAGAGCAAGCAAACAGACAAAGCCTCTATTGCTTGCTCTATACGGCCCAATCGGCAGTTTGATACGATTTCATTTCACTACTAACCGAGCGTAGCCGATGATTTGCGAATAAATCCAAACGCAACAACTACCTGTGATAAAATCACAGGTAGTTATTTCTATTTAGAGTGATTTGTAGTACTTTTTGTGAAGTGACGTAGCTCCCGTGATTTAGCGTAGCATATGTAATTTCACTTGTGATAGGTGAAATATTGAGAGCCTATTGAATATTAGTAATAACAAAAATCATATAAATATTGGTATATCGTATAAGGTTGAGTGGCAGAGAATACCATCCAATATTAAGTCCGCCAAATGTACATACAATTCCATTGTGCATTAAAGTTTAAATAAATTAATAGAATAATACAATTCCAGACATAAAACATGGTATGACGTACCGGGATCCGGGAATGTAGTGAATCATTGAATTATAATCTGAATGTTCCAACTTCTCTACCATAGTTTTTTGGCTTACATAGGAACAGCAAGTTAAATGTGAGGAATGCATTTATTTAACAAATGTTGACTGTCAACTAAATCCCTAACGTATTTATCCGTCATATTCGTAAACGGATGCTGCTTGCGGAAGTTGGGTGAAAAAAAAAAGAAATAGATATAGCTTACTACTGCCGCGTTGGTTAGATGATTTGTATTGTAGCATGTTAATAGAAGTCTAGCTTTAGGAAATCTTAGACATATTATAGTTTTATTTTGTCACTAAATACATACGTTACTATATTGTATACATATGTAGCATAACATCTAAAAAATATTTACCTACAATGAGATGGGATATTACTAATACAGACGTTTACAGATAATAAAAACAAGGAAAACCCACAAAGCACGTTTCTTGCCAAGCATAATTGCATTATGGTTAAAATCACGATTAGGTACATTAATACAATTTATGTGTCTGATATTGATTTAAACAAGAAAAGTTAATTTAGACTGGTAACAGAACCTTTCGGTCACGACATTTATGTTTCAGTTTATGTAAGAAAAAAATACAAATCTCTGGAGGTTACTATATCAATAATAATAATAATAAGTTGCCATCTTCTCTCCTTGAGAGGGGAGATGTGAATTTTGTAAAAATTTAAATAATAATAATAATAAATAACTCTTATCCATGTATGTAGCAGTATTAATATATCCATAGAGCGATTCATTTACACCCCACTTGTCTTAAAGTTCTAATGAGAATTTATGCGACAAAAAAATCTTATACTTTTTTATGATACTTATATATATTAAATACATAATTGGGACTTTACGCGATGAAAAAAAAAACTAAAAAAAATTAACTAGTATTTAGATTAGTAAACAAGTTGGCCTACCAGATGTAAAGTAGTAACCATCATTTATAGACATCAGTCTAGAGTTATAGGCATAGGACTAGTGTCATAAGGCTTATGTGTTGTTGCACTTGTTCTTAGGAACGTTAAACTATGGTCGTCACATTGTTTGTGTGATACATGGTGTAATTCGTATTCACTGGAATATAGGCGATGGTCACCACTTTTCATCAGTATAGCTTGTCATTTATTGGCTTGCTCTTTTAGACAAATGGTAAACGAATCCATCGGTAGTAACAGCAACATTGTTATTAGCAAACGCATGAGATAAAAAAAGACGCCGAACCTTGCTATCTCGTTCTATCTCATACACGTGGTAGCGATAACATATCTACTGATAAATTCGTGTGCCACTTGTTTAGGGGAGCTGATTGTTTAAATCAAATAAAAAATAATTGAAATGTCAAGAAATAATAGTAAATAACATTTAGAACTATTAAAATGATAGCATGTAAATAATTTTGTATTACCACAAACTCAATGTGGCAACTTAACAACAACCAGAGTCGTTGAGTTGTCTAGTCATTGCTGCGCTGACGTCAAGCGCATAAGCCGGCAGGTAAAACTTTACAATAAATAAATTATGTGTGTATGATGGCCATGACGTCTCCGTAACCTAGACCTTGACATCGAGATGTCAAAAATATGTGACGCCGAGGAAAACAGGTTGCTGTGTATGTACATGTACATAGCATACTAGAAGAATCATATACGTGAAAACAATCCGTAGTTTATTACCATTATCTATTACTGTTAACTGTTTGAATACCATTTCGTGGGTATTTCAGATCATCTTTACTTAGCGGTAACTTTATTGTCAAACAAATTTAAATCGAAATCATACTATACTTTAAAGGAATTGTTTTACCAATGAAACTAAGTTTTATTCCCAAAGAAACTGGAATTGAAAAATGAGTTTGACTGACATGATAGATGGAACCTCTGCGTTTCTCAATCTTGTAGCCAATGGTAATTGTATGCCAAATAATTATTATTTCACATAATCTTTTTTATATTATTATAATAGTAAAGAAGTTGACACTCTGTCTGATAGTTATGGGCTCGAGATTTTTACTTTCGATATCATCGTTTCTCAGCAAAGATTGTGGTCAATCACGAGACCTTGCAATACTAAATAAAAAAAAAAAATCAAATGTGGTAATTGTCGCTTATAGTCAAGAATAATATGAACCTAATAGATTATTACATCGTGATCATAAACATAATAACATAATCATTTTCAGAAATGTAGAAACAGCACTATAGTCACCATACACTGCAGTCTTTACCCCTCTTTGGCATGATTTAATATCTATTGGAGATGTTTAATATTTATCATTATTGGCCGTTAGCCGATTTTATCATCGTTAGTAGGAAAAAATCTTGACAAAGATAGAAAATGATAACTAGATGATATCTGTGAACTTGTCCACAAGAAATTTTTGATAACGATGTAACATTATGACCTTGAGATTCAGTCAATTTTGTTAAAGATTTCCTTAAAACTTGGTAGTTTAGCAAACAACAAATTTAATTTTATATATTAGCAAGAATAACAATTTTTTTTTTATAATAAGCAATAGATGTAACATAAAACATTATCTCTCCATGACTACAAAGATCTAGAGCTACATAAAAGCAGAGGAAATACACGGAGCAATTTATGGCCATTACATGTTAATATAATAAAACAGTAGAGACATCTATACGGGTTTTGTATTGCGGTAGTTACGAGGTTAATGTGGCTGTGAGTACTGTGACGTAGCAACCGTGTTTATGTTGAGTTGCGCTTGCGACGTCTACGTAATTGAGTATACCCAAAATGTCAGTCACAGGTGGCGATAATAAAATATTTAATAATGTATTGAATTTAAAATTTTGAAAATATTATCTGTACAGATATATGAGACAGCATAATTTAGGTAGTTTTATATTTTTTCTATTCTATTCTATATCTATCTCAAGTTTATTTCGTTGTTAAGTTCTCTAGATTTAGTGTAGGTTTACATCATATCTAAGTTGAGTAACACGCCCTCTGTTACTCAAAATTGTGTCCTCTAAACGTTGTTTTTTTTATTTCTTACAAAAACTGTTGAAGATAAAAGAAAACTGTCATAGACTTATTAAATTTCTTCACGACCCCTACTATATAATGTCTGTAACTGACGATTGGCTATTTATCTGGCTACCATTGGGATAATTTATTTAAATATATTTTTGTGTTACGCGACATCATGACATCTTAGTCAGTTTGGGTTTAATTACTTTGTGGCTCTTACATCTTTTTTTAAGTTGATGTTTTTAGCGAAAAAAAAAAAACATAAATTATTACATACGCTACTAGACCTGTCCGCAACTGGAATAAAAAGTAGATTTTTCCATGCTGAATAGTAAATATGAATGATAAATTTCATAATTAGTTGAGTTTTTTTATGAATAATAATGGAACGGAATAGCATGGAACTTCACCTGCGCTGACGGTATTCGCTGGCGGATCGGTGAGGGATAATAGGCGAGAATGAAAATGCAGGTTAGTTAGCCCATTGTGATGAATATACCTGGATTTCAACACGATGGTTTCCAGGGTGGGCCACGTGGAGGTCGAGCTGACAGGGTATGTTACTGGCAATGGGGACTGATAGTCCGCATTATTAACAATCCCATTCCCTCCTTAGTTAAGGCGTTAGACCGCCGAGAGGTAACAACACGTATCGTACGGATCGTAAATTGAAGATAATGTTGTAGTATACCAACGAGTCGTATAAAATTCTATCACCAAATACCAATAAATACCTATTTATCAAATGCTACCAACGAGTTATCTTATCGACTTTCAGAAATAATTTATTAGGACCAGCCATAAAGGTGTAAATCCTAAATCCATTTACAATAATCAGATGAAAATGATTTCATTTGGTTACTGTAGGTAAACGGGTTAATTATGCAAACTATGTTTTTAGGGTCACATACTTACGAGTAATAAATAGATCTTTTTAATCCTATACATTTCTAGAGAATTCCTTACGGTTTAACTTCTTAAGATTTGTTTTAAACTACTCTTACTATAACTTGTATTTATTAAGTACAGTGTTACTTGTACTTAAACAATGTGTTAATATTTAAATAATATTTTTTTAATTGTATCTATTAATATTTTTCTGAAGAAATTAATACTAGTTTCTAAACGGAATTTGTGAGCAAAATTTATTACTTACAGGTTTTATGGCAATAATTAATCACATTAACACATGTTTTGTTTGCTTATTCATTATAGATATTTTGCTGTATATGTTGTTAGTACAAACTCTGTTTAGTTTAAGCCTAGATGGCGCTGTACATGACGCTTTCAGAGTTATGATTTTCTTTTACGCAACTTAGAATGGCAAACAAGCTGACGGCCCAGTATACTGTTTCGCCCAGGTGTTATTCCTCTGTACCCTGTAAATTCATTGCCATATCATCCCATCCTTCAAACCGAAACACAGCCATGTAAACACAACTGTTTCACGACAGAAACAGGAATGAAACAGAGATGCCCAAGCAAACGACTTTTGTATAAAGTCTCCCTCTGGTTTTTGAGTTTTTGGTTATTATTTTTGCATTGATATTCAATTCCAGCAAAATATTTATTGTGTAAGCCCAATATGATGTTCTCGTAGTTTTAGGTGTTACCAAATAATGCAAATATTACATGAATTCGAGAAGTAAGTAAACCAGTTACAGTTGCATTCGAAATGGACTTTGCACCTCGGCAAGAACTAGTATTGGACTTTGATAGTAGTAGAAAATACAGGGCCGAACTACAGGGCGGATGTCTTTAGATTGGTGAGTGCTACGAATACGTTATTAATGTTCTAATTATTATCATTTGTTTAGTTCGCGAAAGTTGGATCCAAAAAATGCACTAAAAATGAAGGCTTGCAGAAAGAATCATTAAAGATAATAAGCAACTAGGAACAGTTAATATTGGAAAAAGATATGGGGTTGTTACGTTTTTCTATTTTGTTTCAATGGCTATTTAAAAGAAAAGCTGAATTGGTCCAGCCATTCTCTAGTTTTATGTTTAGTGATACATTTAGCGAGATATATTTATACTAATATTATAAAGCTATAGAAAGCTACATTCTTAGCGAGTAATATGTGCTACATATTATTTTCGAAAATTCTATTTACCCCTGTGAAAAGGTGTAACGTGGTTTTTTTTCCTCTAAACTAAACCTCTTTACACCATGCATGCATAATGCCCCTGGTATTGCAGGCGTTTATAGGCTATAGTAACTGCTTACCATTTGGTGGGATGTATGCTTGCTTGCCACCTCAGTGGTATAAAAAAAACGAGGTCACAGGCATAGTTAATTAATTTACAATTGGAATCTAGATTGGCTCTGATTTGTTAAGTCCATCCCTGGCTTGTGAATCACGTTTAGACGATTGCATATGTGATGTGGGGCTAGATATATAAATTATATACGGACTTCAAAATAATAATATGTGGTTTGCAATTTTTAACATGTAGGGCATGAAAGCAGTGGAAAGATAAGAAATGATATGTTATCTGTTTGTTGGCAATTTTTGAATAAAATTTTATTTCGATCAGCATTTTTAATCGTTCATTATATATATTTAACGGCATTAATGTTGGATTATATTCTTGTTTAATTGCTTTTATTATGATTATGATTGAATGAAATTATGCATTACGCTTCGTAAGGCACCGGTAGTGGTCATATAAGTAAAACTATTTTCAATAGGTCATGACAGAGGCCTTCGTATAATATATAACGATAGAAGACCTCTGCCACCGAGATTACAGATTATTTTATAAAAGGCAGCTAAGAATTTATATATCTAAAATTGTAAACGTCTTGAAATTAGATACATAGTTCCAGATATTAGTAATAATTGTTGTGTCATTGATGAGTTGAACTTTGCACCTTCAATGGATTGAAACTATGCTGTTTTGAACTGTGCTGTCTATTTAATCGTGTTGCCTTAGCCATACGGTACATTTTACGTTAGTTTATTAACAGAATTAAATTTGTATATTGCAGATGGGGGCAAAGTCCAACATTGAGTGATCAAAGTCCACGCGCACGTTAATTGCTACATTGTTTTTATAACTGAGAAGTCATAATATTTGTGATAACGGTCACATTAAAGTCTATATAATTTTTTTTTTATTTTTTGTGTGTAAAAAATATAGTGTAATGAAGTGATTTTAATAAAATGGGTTTATAGGATTTAAGTACCTATATATTATATGTAGAAATTATTAAATTACTCTTTCAAGTTTTAAAAAGGTGTTGTGTGATATAAGAGTAGATGCGTAATCATTGTTGTGTCACGATGAGTTGGACTTTGTACCTTCGCTGGATAGAAAATAAATCAATGTAAAGTATACTATCTATTCAACTGTATTGCTATAGACATACGGTTTATTTTTTATTAATTTGTTAACAGAGCGAATGTATAAGATTGCAGATGGGGGCAAAGTCCAATAATGATCGGCCAAAGTCCACACGTACGTGTAAGTTAATTACTCGATTGTTTTTTATGACTTATGATATAAATATTTTTGATAATACAATCATATTGTAAGGTCTACGAAAATGATTTATGTAAGTGGTTAACCAACTTTAAAAAGAGAGAATTTCAATAATAATATATACCAATAAATATTTGTAATTGTTTTTTGAGCATTATATTGAAGTGTTTTTTTGTGGAACTACATATTATTTAGGCTTTAGAAAAATTTAAACCTCTCATACTAATAAGGCAAGTCTAGGAAATAATTTTTTTTCTTGTCTAATTTCTTTATTAGGGAATATGCAAAAATATGAAAAAAAAAAATGCAATTTTACGGGTAGAAGAATCTCTTAAAAGGATGCTAATAATTTTTATTTCATCAGTAAAATGTTGATAAAGTGTTACTTTTGTAGTCAAAACCGTCGATCTGAGTTTACTCCTGTGATGATTCTATAATAAATTTGGAAAGTGTGATCTAAATTCCATTTTTACTTTGTAAATTAAATAAATTAAATTATTAATAAAAAATCGGTTTAAATAGTAAATGTAACATAATTGTTTATTTTGTGGCATGGGACCAATTTATCCAAAAAAGGTTAAGCGCTATCTATAGCTGCATGCACCAGTTATAATTTCAACTTATCTAACAATCCATTAATGTGCTGCACAGGTGATGCTGAGCAAAAATATAGCTTACTATTACCATTAAATAATAAGGATGAAATCCGAAGGTAAGAAGGTTAAACCTTCCGCCCGTATTCCGAAAAGGAGGATGAAATTCCATTTTGACATATAGTATTCTTACTTCGTCACCACACGTAGGTTATACGGTAATTTAACATATGATCAACTATTTTTTTGTTTCTTAAACAGTTAATAGGTAATCTGAATAAGTATTATGTACTCGTACCTACCGGAGGTGTACCATAAAACAAGTCGAGTCACTGTGACACGCAAGAAATAATTTTATGCAATTACACGATGATTGGCCCGAGAATAATTTTAATATTACTGTCATACGAGATTTCTAAGTGAACAATAACAATGTTTGTCATGGTGATCACAGTCACAGACAAAGAGAGACAGATAAAGCATGTACATCAATATATATGAAGACTAGTTTTTACCCGCGACTACGTCCACGTGACCGGGATATGTTCACTGACCGTGATAACAAGAAAGTAGAATTTTATAGTGATTTGTTAACTCGTTAAGGTGGATACAAGGTTTTTGAATTTATCTTTTATACAAAAACAAATAATCAAAACTCTCCTCTTTATAATATTATCCCTTTATTCATAAAAAACTCAAACATAGACATCCATTTTAGTTATTAAAGTGTTTCGTTACTGTTTTCTAAATTGAGAAATTATAGCAAAAGAAAAGGATAAAGCACTTCAATAGGTTTATAAGAAGTTTGACAAATAAATGGGCAAAATTTAACACTAAAGTTTTTCAATGTAACATTTATCAATCAATTAGAAACACAATCCAGGATTGTGTGAGCGACCGACTCTTCGGTTTTAAACCAATCTCAGCATAAAGGACCGCCTGTGACACATAAAACGATTTTATAAAGTAGGAAGTATTCAATTAATGATTTTTTTATATCATTTGTTATGTTACATTAACCCATAATAATTGGTCTATTGTGTAGTTTTAATTTTATCACGATTGATGATGGTTGTTTTTAGAAAATTTATAAGTAAATTTAATTTATTTCTTTATAAATTAATACACTAATATTTGTATTATATGCAAATAAACTAAATAAGATTATTGACTATAAGTACGCATGTCTTTACAATATTGGAAAAATTATATTTTCTTTGTAATTACATGTATTATCTGTTGCTTAGTTATCTTACATGAAATAATGACATAAGATTTGTATTACAGTAGTAAAGAATGTATAATATTTATTAATGTACCACAGATAAACAAGCAGTAGAATATTTACTTAAGGGTAAATTTAACCGATAATAACTGTACTATCTTATTGAAACAATATAGAAATCCCAAATATTGTTCAGTTAAAAGTGGGGCAGATGTGAATCATTCTCGCATACCGTTCTCTGTATTACAATGTAAAATAAGAAATCAAAACTAAAAAGGTAAAAAAATTTTTTAGTGGAGCACAGTTTCCATTGCAAAATATGCACATTTAAATTTACATTTCATAAATAGTGGACAAGACTGAAAAAAAAGCATGGCTGTTAAATTTTGTAAGTTATTGACAATTTATGGCTACTATATTTCTTTGATTTTTTTTTGATAATTCTTTAAAAAGAAGCAAAAGGAGACCAAGAAAAAGATGGTTTGACGATGTCAAGGCTATGGGAGGACCCTTGTGTTAAGAATAGTTCAAGATAAGGGATAAGTGAAATAAAAATATAAAATGACAATTAAATTATTAAAAAAATTCAAGTGAAATAGAGTAGAGTAGTAAAGTACAGAATCAAACAATAATATATAATAAACAAGTTAAAATTACGTCAAATTGAACCTTATTCCGTACACATATGATTTATCAAAAAGAGCAAAATATGCATATGATTAATATTTATTTTGTATATTTATATATTGTGCTAATTGAGACTGAGTTAGTGGTATTTGTCGCCTATAGACACGAACAGCATGAATATCACAGATAAATTATATAGGAATGCATTGCCATTTCTTAGGACTAATGTGTTTTGCCTCCGTACCCTGATATTTCACTGCTATATCTCTTTCTCCAATGCGAAACTTACATAACTATACTTGCCTAGTCAATACATGTAACATAACATACATACATTGTCGCCCTACAGTAAACACTATGTATACATTTATGTGATAGAAAATAAATAGACTGAACTCAATTGCTGGGTCTAATGTAGCACACAATTGAAATTAATTGTGTACTCTACATAGTTACTTGCACAATACCTCTTATTTATTCCCATTATTATATTATGATATTTATCCATAGTTTCCATTTTTGATATATCTAGATAGAAAAATATAATATGTACTATGAGTATTACAGTGTATTCTGTGATGTATATTGTTAATATATAGTTTTATAAAAAAAACTTTATAATACATATTCATACTATATAAAAAACAATAATATAGCTAAAATTTCCAAAAAGTCCCATTAAATTTTCCTAAAAATGTAAAACTTATTGAACAAATTAAGCATTTTTAGTTTAGTGGTTTATTAATATGACTTAAAACAATGATGTAGCAAGTTTAATCCTAGCTAATATTGAGAAACATTAAATGGACAGTTACATTATTACATATTAGGATTTCAACTGATTTAAAACAATGGGTAAGTATACTAGCTCATTTAAATATAAAAGTAGACAAATACTGTAAATGATATATTCAGATTAACACAATGCCCTCTACATTTCAATATAAAAAATTATAATAATGAAGCAGTTCACAATAGCATAGAGACTGCATAATATATTAATCATGAAAATAATGATAAATACACATTTCAATTGAGTATCTCCTGTTTTTTAAATCTTTATAAAAAGGGAAATCAAAAATTTTATTGTACTATTTTGTAATTTATATAATATGTATTTACTGTTATATATTTTATTACATTTTATGAAGACTGAAGTTAATTTTATTTTAAATGATTATGTTAGCTCAAAATACATTAACAACTTCCATTATTATCTAATCTAAAAGTTGATTCATATAAAAAGGTGATAATCACTGTGTAAAGGGCTTGAAACAGGACAGATGGTGTATGCTTTAAAATTAATTCAATAGGATGTATATAAAACACTATCAGTCTTAAGACTAAATTTATTTTGTTAGTATAATCAAAGACAAATTTTCATTTGTCAACAAAAATGTTAACATACTAGTATCACTTTGTTGACCTATAAAACAGGGTCAGATAACCCTTCAATATACTTCCACAGATTTAGTAACATTATGTAGAGGTCATAACAGTTCTGTTAGTTCCGCGATCAACGGCGTAGAAGGATAATAAGTGTTAGAGTAAATACATTTAGTTGAATAAACAAAAAATAACTTTGTTGCTCAACACAACAAGGGGACAAGTTAAACGAGTTTGGTTTATAAATAAACATCAATTTCAATGAATAACGTCAGTAAGCTAATTAATAAATTGCATCTAGAATTTGATGCGGCACTTTATAAAGGAATTACGTTGGATAGAAGTCTTCCAATAAGTTCTATATACATTCGTAATTAGTTTGTTTACTTCTATGTACGTGGGCGGTTACAAAGCTATTTTACGACAAAATTATTTACTCACCTTCATTACAAAGTCCCATTTTAGTTTCGTGTTTCTTCTACAGTTAATTTCTTTTGGGATTCTTAATAATTAGATATCATTTCTTGAACACAAATTTTTATTGAGACATGACATTTCTAATTTCATATCTATCTATTCTATACTAGGTACAATTAGATACAATATGACAGCTGTCATCGACTATAATCGAATGTACGAATGATAACACGGTGTTGCTAATATAGAAATTTCTTTTTAGTGCATAATCTATTCGATAGATGGCGTTCATAGTCACAAACTCGAAGCAATAAGTATATGCATTTTTCAGTGTTTGTATGAAGTAGTTTTATCTATTATATTTACCTTTCGGTTTAAGTATTTTTTTTTATTATATAAAGACATACGACTGCGTTTACGTTTATGTTGAAAATTTAACTGAGCCTCGCTTAGTTTTCAAAGTTTCTAATTACTCTGATTATTACTTAGAATTCTATATAAGATTTTAGTTATTTTTAGAAGTAATGTATGTATAACAAGGGAAAATGAACAATAAAAACAGGGTGGAAGGTATTATTGGTAAGTGGTAACCACTGTGGTTACCGTGTACGTACCTATATACCTACAGAGGAAAAGCGAAATCGGAATTATTCCGATTTTGAAAGCGGTGCTATATTAGTAAGGAAGGCTCAAGATTATTATGCAGTTTTTTCCAGTTAGTTTAGTTTTGGTTTATGCCGTTGAGAAAAGGATTCGTCGTTTTTCATCTCGTATTTCGTTGAGAAAAAGTAAAGTTTTCTTAAAAGGTTGTTAATGGTTTCAATTTCACTTTTTATTTTTCGTATCTTTCATGATACCTCTCCATCACTGACATCACTGACGCTTCTCAGGAAAAAAACATTTTGCATCAGAAATAGTCCTGCCGATCGAAAAAGCAATGTACTCGTGGATTATTGCTTCATGGCGGACATAAGCAGTACATAGAGACTTGTTTATATTTTAACTCAACTTTTAAGTGACGATTTACATACGTCACTTTTTTATGATTCCAATGCTGGGTCCAGAATGTTGTTAAATGCTAAGAAAATTTATCAATTACACTTATTGTACCAAAATATACTAAATAACTTTATATTGTCTACAAAATATCTCTTTATTTTACAGTTGCTTAGGTGACTTACAGTGGCCATTCTGGAAATCTTTTAAAAGATTGAGAACCCAGGTTTGCCGCTGCAGTTACATTCTGGTGAAATGGCGTGTTATATCTCAGGAGGCCTGCGACTGTAGAGTGTAATCGCAGACCATATCTTACCTTCTGTGCTGTTCTTATATTCTTCATCTTGCACGAAAGAGAACCTGAATAAGGCAAGTAACTGTGCTGTGGAAGTCCAAATATATTTAGATTGCCTATTGACTCGAAAGAAGAAGAAGAAGGAATTGTTTTTACAAGCACTCAACCTACTACGGCGCCTCAAGTTTGGATATTACAGTGAGCATGACTTATTTTCAGTTAGATACTTGACATCTTTACATCATTTACTATACTAAATCTAAAATTTAGTCTAGTTTCTTAGTTACACAGTCAGATAGGAATAATATATGAAAAAGAAAAAGTTTTGCTTCTTTATTTGATATCTGTATAGTTGGTCATGGCTGGAAAGAAGCCATATAGTATATTTGAAAAAAGAAAAAGAATTATTAAATTTTTTTCATACCATTCTTGTAACTCTTCATGTAATGTTTTGTAACTATATTTTGTTATGTAAATAAATATAAAAAAACACTAGTGGAACTATAAAAGTGGTATCATTTTGGAGTACATCGTCTAATAGTATTTTTTTTTTAATTAATTATTGTAGAAATCAAAATCTTAGACGGATGGTCACGGCCACAGATGCTACAAAGTTAACTATTATATCTATGATTACAATTTATTGTAGGTCTTGCAAAATATATAGAGATTAATGTAAGTCCACAGTTAAATAATACTAGGTCACAATGAAACCTATACAAAATGCATTTATTGCTTTGCGTCTCTTGTGTCACTTGTCAACAATCTTGTGCACGTGTTAGCTAATAACAAGTTGAACTCGAGAATTGCCAATTATCTTCTATAGTGTTGTTATAATTGATCTTACTGAGATAAGTACTTACCTTGTAAGTCTAATTTCCTATTGTAACTAAATATGAACGCACAACTTCCATGTTTATATGATAATACATTTTTACAGCAAATAGTGCTGGATTTATTAATGGGTTATGAAGGCTTCGGTTCATGTGCGGAAAATACAATTTAATTGTTTAACTAATGACTATGATATTTGGTATACATTAATTATATCTGATGAAGACGAAATGGTGTTGTCCGGGCATCAAACTCGCCACTACTGGAAGGTAAAGCAATGTATAAAACTACTAGGTCGTCAAAATCATAAAGATCTGAACACAAAATTGTTTTATCTTTCTTACGATTCCATACAAAATCATGTCTTAGTGCATCAGGTACTCCAGGTAAGCTAAGGCCAGCCCTGATTGCGTGAAATTTTTACGCAACGATGTTATCTTTAAGTAGATACTAAATTCCTTGATTATTACCGCCTATGTTTGAGTAAGGCCTTATGCGGGCTGCCTAAAGTGTCCCAAGACCAGACGCATATTAAAATAGAGATCTATTCCTGTATCTGCTTCCATCACAGATTACACAAACAGTGAATATGACATTTATAGATGGGAGAATCGGTGTCAAGTACATTTTACGTGATTCCATAGGATTTTTAAATGCAAAGGTGTTACATCCTCATTAGGTAAGGCTGCGAACTGTATAGTGTAATGTATTAAGAAATACTTATATTTATTTTAAACTACTTAAATGATATACATATTACATTGAAATCACAAATAATATTATATAATTATTAAAGCATTAAAATATAAAGTAAAATACTGGAAACCATAGTGATTAATTCTTAAATTCATCACAATAAACTAAGTACTACAACTGTAACTAACGCTTGTATGGCTGTGTTTCGATTTGAAAATCGGGATATTGCAGTGAAATTACAGGACACGTAGGCATAACATTATAATTTCGGGAAATATTAACGCACAAGGATAACGCTAAGTATCATAAAAAAGGCAGTTTTGGTTTTTGAGTAAGATAAAAGAAGTGTAACTTCTGTTCGTCAGTTGTTACGTGTCTATTCTATATTTGATATGCGTTCATTTCAATTTTATATGGTAAGTATATAACTACTTCGATCTTCTTACTTAGTCGTGTTTTCACTAAATTTGAGTCTGAAACTAACTAATTAGTCACACCATAAGTAATTCCTAAGGTAAATATATTTACAAAGAATTTTATTATTCATAGTATAGCATTTAAACTTGAAGCTATAAATTCTGTCACAAATAGGTATAATGAGAATATATTTATTGATAGAGAGTAAAAATGTAAAAGCCTAGAACAAAAATCGCTTGGACGTATAGTCAAGCTAACGGTTTACCTATAAATTATGCTTATGAACATGTAGCATCATAGCCTAGAAACAAATCTGAATTAACCATGTCGTCATCTCTAGGCAATAAATAAAAAAAAAACAAGGCAATAACATTTTCATTGACATTTTATTAAATGCAAACTTTCAAATGTAATTTTCAGTAACAGAAACTTTATCAAAAACATTTTTGGCAGTGCCTTTCTCTGTCTAATGTATAATCCGGTCTTTTCTAGGAGACATTCTGATACCTGTGTGTTCCTTATTGTCATTTCTGAGGAGTAAAATGTTATGGCCTCGGTATTCACTAATTTCACTTACTGTATTTATTCTTAATTTGCCAGTAAATGGAGATTATCTCTCTGTCCGTCGAATATTCGTATGGTACCCATGAAGAAAAATTACACAATACAGTTTTATCTCTCTCTTTCTCTGCTAATAAGCCATAATTGTGATAGTAAACATGAAGTTTAATAGGCAATAAAATATACATAAGTCACTTACGTAATACATACATTGGTTTATGTAATGTTACTTTCCGATTTATTATACCTATCTTTACACTCCGTAGGGTCAACAGAGCCCTTGAGGTCCAGTGCGTGTGTACATTCACGTCCGCAGCCGAAATTGGAAGGGTCAGTCCATAATATTGGTTCATTTTACGCTCCGATGACACAAATTTTACGTAACAAAATCATGAATAATAAGTATAGGTATCTGTTACATTTCTACTTAACAGCTTGATATTAGTAATTTTCCATTATTTTGGTAATTTACAAAATTCTTTCAGTTTAGTATTTGTGAGTATATCTGTCATAAGGTAGAAACTAGATAAGACTTATTTTACTAACTAAACTAAACAGGCTATTCTGTTATTTAGAAGATATTTTTTAAACATCAGATGTATGTTACTTTGCTGAAAGTTTTTTATAAGCTTCATTATTTTTATATCATATATGGAATTGCTTTGATACTCACAGACAATGAATTTTTTTTTTACTAATGCTTATATAGAGATCTAGTGAATGGCTCAAATTTTAAATAATTTGCAACTAGAATTTACAAATAAGATGCGATATATTTGTTCGTGTGTGAAATCAGATTTCTCAGATTGAGGCGATATTTATTTTCTGATCAACTGCCAAATCGAGCGTACAATCAAATTAAGAACATCATCTTATGGCCTATTTGTTGGAATGAAATTTAAAAGAGTTTAAGAGATTATTAATTTCCAAAATCTCTTTACAAAAAGTGAGTAGTTTTCGTTCAACACCTATAAAAAAGTCGGTTTACAATCGAATTGAAGACCTCTTTTTTGAAATCGATTAAAAATATTTAAGATTTTTTCTGATTTCAAAGTAACACAGAACTTAACCCGCAATTGGGATTTATTCCTATGATAAACCCCAAGAGGTAATTCTTTTTTTTCAAGCCAGTACATCAACTAATAGAACCCAGTGATAACCTCAATGCTTATCGATTATCATTGAAGATGTGTGCATTATACAGATACTGAAGGTTTAAGGTATTAGTGTAATCTGTGGAAACAGATTAAATTCACTACCCCCGCAAAGATAACCAATGCGTGCTTGACTAAACATGTAACAGTAAAGTAGTATTTTTTTACTCATATTATTTATATAAGTACTTGAAGATGATAACCGCTATTTTGTTCGGCATATCAATCCTTTATACTCTATTTCATAACAACAAACAGGCAAAAAAACTTTGCCAATTTTTATAAAAATTATAAAAAAAAAATTTTATTGTTAGGGAGGCAAACGATCAGACGGTCCACCTGATGAAAAGCGTCTACTGTCGTCCATGAACACCTGCAAAACGAGAGAAATTGCTTGTGCGATGCTGATCTTTTAAATGGTTTGTTGGCATGTTTTTTTTTAAATTCCCCATATTGTAAAGAGAAAACTGAAGATGGGAATTAAAAGTACCCGTAACCGGCGAGTGTGTATAAAAAGCTTGATGAATGTGGAAGAAGCGAAAGAGGTTTGTTTGAATCGAAGCATTTGGCGTTCCATTATTTCTGCCTATTCTAATGGGAGACAGGCGTGACAGATATGTATGTATGAAGATGGGAGCCTATTCCATAACCTAGATGTACGATGTAGAAATTAACGTAATAAGAGTAATACAATATATTAAAATTTTTTCACATCCTCAGTATGTGTAATATGTTTACATGATATAGCATAATACCTCAACAAGAAAAAGAAACTGTAAGATAAGGAAAGGAAGTGGTGGCTCATTTTATCACACGGCAAATCAGTTGATCGTTCGTGACGAATTCACCGGGAATTAATTTGGATGGTTTCAAGAGGGAATCCTATAAAAAATTACCAGTATTTTCGCAGCAATAGAACTGCTAGTACTCGTTTTTAACAATAATTTCTCTTTACTATCTTTTTAAAGTTGAATCTTTTATCTATTGGCTCGAGGTATTGAACTGTAGTTCTTTCCCCACAATTGGTAGAACTGTTTATTATTAGCCTACTATATACGTCGGAATTTATTTATGTATTTATATACACTTTATTGCACCATTTATAGAATAGTGAACACATTTAACTGTAATAAGAAATGATACAAAAGGCGGTCTTATCGCTAAGCAATCTCTTCCAGACAACCTTTGGGTAGAGAACATTGAGAAAACAAAGAAAAATAAAGGGTAGGTGGCGCACTATTATATTAGTACTATTATATATAAACAAATATATATACATATATATGTATATACATATATATACATAAACAAATACATACATAAACATACACAAATTTGTCAATTTTTACAAGCCAATATAGTCCTATTTGCAAATTATTATTTATGTGATATTAATCGATAACGGGCTGTTTATTGTAGATTGCGTTATCGTAAACTGCCTACGTGTTTACAGATGGAACTCATCCAAGATAAAACTATACTGTTATTTCTGTACATGAAATATATATAAGATTTTTTATTGTAGATGTGTTTTTAATTAAACAAGTCAAGGAGATTTTACGAGTGTCAACCATCCGTATTATATAATAAAACTTACATACGTGCTTATTATTTGTTATGTAATTACGTTTTTAACAATTAGAGTTTTTATACCACTAAGGTGGCAAACAAATATGCATTTCACCGCAGTAAGCAATTACCGTAGCCCATAAACGCCTGCAATACCGAGGGCATTACGCGTGCGTTGTCAACCCTGAAGAAACCACTTTACCCGTCTTTGGAGAACCCCATGCTGTGGTCTCTACCTACCAACTAGATAAATTATAGTCAAAAAATGATTAAAAATTATAATATTATGAAATATATATAGTCTAAGTATAAGCATAAACAAATGACAAACTAAACCATAAAAGTTTGCCTTGAAAAGATTGCTTTCAGCAATAAATCCATGTTATTTTATTTAGAAAAAATGTAAATAACTATTGTCTGTGTTTTTAGTTGTATAGTTATAAAAAAGTATACTTAAACATTCCTACTTTTATCTTGACATGTTTTCTTAGTTTTTTTTTCTCAAATGCATAAATTTCGAATAATACTTTTTATTCGTAGATAATAATTTGATATTTTTTCTTGTCATGCATGTATCTGGCTAGACTATAGTGCCGTGTGGTTGTAGTATAGTGTGAGCAACCCCTTTCTTTTCCGTGGGTGACGTAAGAGGCGACTAAGGAAGCAGCGTCTCCCTTAAAACATCACCAAAATCCAAAATCCAAATTGCAGTTGTCAACTTATGTGCCAAGGGTGATAATTACTAGCAAATTCCGCCCAACTGTAAACTGCCATAAGGAATGGCTTCGTTTTTTATGACAGTTTATGGGGGATGTCTATGTTTTGCAGTGGATATATATATATAATATAATAACGGTTAATATAATGATAATTAGCTAATTTAAAAGTAAACAAATATCTTAAAACATTGTTCTATAAAAAAACTAACAGCACTTCAATCGTGATAAAATTATTTCGAGACTAATATAAGAATAAATTATATCCGTTGCAAAAATGATTATGGAGATTGTTAAATAATATATCTAATTTAACAATATGAATTCTTCTACGTCTGCTCAGGAATCAGGGCAATAAATAAAATTATAGGTATGCACATATTAAAATTATTATACTCGAATCCCTTGAGTAAAGACAAACAAATATAGGTCAAGTGCGTGTTAGAACTGGCGCCCGTAGATAACTCTCAGGGCAAGATAAATAGAGGAAAAAAAATAGTAATTTGTTATTAAACTACATCATCCATGACCAATTCATATTGTGTTTAATTGTAATAGTTCTTTAGGTGCATTATTTATATTATAAACCTGTAAATATTTTAGGAATTTAAAAATCG